TCATCTCATGTCTAGCTATGGGGCACAGCAGATGGCAAATTGGCTGCTGTGTTCACCTACAAATACAGTCAATACATTTCAAAGAAAATCCTATGAAGCATTTTGATGTCCCAACTAAGCGAAAAGGCGCTATATCAAATCCAAGGAATATAGGATGTGTCAGAGTGTTTAAAGTTTAGCAAATGTACAAGAGTTTTGCGGGTTGGATTGTTTCTTTTAAGTATTGACGCACTTGTGACCTCAACACATTGAAGTGAATATTCCTCAGTTAATCTGCTGGCCTTCGGTGAGTTTCCATTGTACACCATCCTCCACATTCTTACTGCTCCCTTCATCCTGAGATTAGAGAAAAGGTGCAGTTTAATTTAGCCAGTTATGAAGAAATACTTCAGACATTACGCATTTTTCATTAACTGAATAGTTTAAGAGGTGATCTGACAGGTTTGTAAGATTATGAAGTGGTATGGTAGGGTAAATAATAATACATTATTCCTACTGGTTAATTAGATGCAGGCATAAGACATAAATTCAAAATATGTACAAAAACTAAAGGGGAGACTGGGAAAAAATCTTTCACAGTGGGTCTTTGGAATGTTGAGTCCACAAATTAAGAGGGAATTAGATGATTGAGAAAAATAAGGGGTAAGGGGAATGGGATTAGCTGGCTGGTGTCAATGGTCTGAATGTTACCATCTATAAAAAATATTACATACAGAAATCACTGAATGATGCAATCAAGTGTAAATTTCACACAATCATCCAATAGAATACAAATTTACATTTATTTATTCACCCACAAATATACGGTCAATTCACTTTGCAGTCTATTCTGTGAAGCGCTTTGAGACGTCGAGAAGACGTGAAAAGCGCTATAGCAAATGCAAGAATTATTTATTTGATCATTCATTCACTCACTCACTCGCTCGCTCGCTCGTTCGTTCGTTCGTTCGTTCGTTCGTTCGTTCGTTTGTTTGTTTGTTTGTTCGGAAGGACATTGGTTAGAGGGCTCGACTTACAAACGAGATACCTGGTTTCGATTCCCAGCAGGGCGAAACATTGGGCAAGTTTCCTTACTCCACACACCCACCGTTTATCTCTTAGTAAGTAGGAATCCAATTGTTAGACGATCGGTGGATTGCTTTTCCGAGCGTCTAGAGTAATAATTCCTTGAAAATAAATAAATTTAAAAAATAATTATTTAGTCACTCAATCCACTACCATTTGTGGGACGCTGCTGTGCGCAATTGGTTGCTGTGTTTCGCCCACAAAATATACAGTATATTCTGTGAAGCACTTTGAGATGTCTAGAAGAGGTGATAAGGAGTTATATCAAATGCAAGGATTGTTATTATTATTCTATCATGTTGTAAGGGTTAATTTAAATTTGTGACCCAGCGGTGAAGGACTGAAACAAATGTTATACAATTAATCAAGATTTATTAATTCAGATTAATAATGTTTATAAGTAATAAAAGAATTATGCTTAGGTATCCACATTTTCTGTAGTTCACAACAATTTAATCAACCAAATGTTGCAGGAGAGACAGAGGAGCAATGTCCAATTTAGTGTCCATTTTAATTCAAATATATGGTCATCAAAAAGTATCCAGGTATTGTTATATGGTTCCCAGTTCGATATCACCCAAAAGTATACAGGTATTATTGGACGTTTCGTGTTGTTTAAATTGTAGTCATGATCTTCCTTTTTTAGAAGGTGGAATATTGTTCGCAACTCCAAGTTGGACATGAAGTCCTGTAGCTCAGTGGTTAGAGCACTTGCCATGCAAATGAGAGATCTGGGTTCGATTCCCGGCAGGGCAAAATGTTAGGCAAGTTTCCTTACCCCACACACTTCTGTTTACCTAGCAGTAAGTAGGAACCCGGTTGTTAGTCAACTGGCGGATCGCTTTTCCGGAGATAAGAATCCTTCAAAAAAAACAATAATAACTATTGTTTGCGGTACACTAGTGTGTGAAATTGGCTGCCGCGTTTCGCCCACAAATATAGTCAATTCACTTTACACTATATTCTGTGAAGCGCTTTGAGACGTCTAGAAGACATGAAAAGTGCTATATCAAATGCAAGGATTATTATTTATTGTAAGTTTCAATTTCTTCTTTCTCATTCGCCTTCATTTGAATCAATCTCCATTTATACCGTTAAGTGACCTTTCATCCATTACCTTTTGCAAGATGGTTCCTTTGTAAAAACAAATGCAACACAGCTCTCTCTCCGGCTGCAGACCATTTTCCATGAGCAAATGACTGATAAGGAAATTAAAAGTTTGTTGTTTATAAACAGTCTTTTGTTTCTTCTCGAGAAAGGATCTTCTTCGAAGCTCATCACAACCAATTCCCTCATACGAGATTGATCAAGTTTCAAACATATAAACATCGCAAATGTAATTTGAGATATTAACACATTAATTGCAGTGTCAAACTGTTGATGATTTTGCTTTAAGCCTTGTCAGATTCCTGTATTTTCTCTTAGTTAATTTTGTGGCGATTGTGATCCTGTCCCGAGGAAAGTGTGGTCTCTCCAAATGCATCACTCGCTACCTGATGGCGATGGCAGCAGCGGATCTCCTGGTTGTCATCACTGATGTCATCTTGTATAAGATTGTGTATTATTATTTTCGAGGTTCTTTTCTGGACATGACTCCAGTCTGCAGTTTGATTGTTGTTCTGTACGCAGCCGCTCAGGATTGTTCTGTTTGGCTGACAGTCACTTTCACATTTGATCGTTACATGGCCATTTGCTGCCAGATGTTTAAAATAAAATATTGTACAGAGAAAACAGCAGCTCTCGTTATAGGAGTTGTGTGTGCACTTCTCTGTTTAAAATGCATCCCCTGGTTCTTTGTGTTTGGGCCTCGGTACATTATTGACAATGTGCCTTGGGATTGCACCTTCAAACCAAGCTTTTATTCGTCAGTTGCCTGGACAGTGTTTGCTTGGCTTCACCGTATTTTTACACCATTGCTGCCATTCGGGCTGATCCTGCTGCTGAATGCTTTAACAGTTAGACACATTCTCGTGGCTAATCAGGTCCGTAGGAGCCTGAGAGCCCAGAACAGTGGTGTGAGCGACAAGGATTCAGAGATGGAGAACCGCAGAATGTCTATCATCTTACTTTTCACTATATCGGGCAGTTTTATTGTGCTCTGGACACCATATGTTGTATATTTTTTATACGTGAGAATATCCAAAACGTTTTATCACACAAGTTTCGATGATCCTTTATTTGTTGCCCAACAAATTGGATCAATGCTTCAGCTTCTGAGCTCCTGCACAAACACGTGCATTTACACTGTGACACAGACTCAATTCAGAGAAGAGCTGAAGAGAGCAATCAAATATCCATTTATTCTAATTCTTAAATTAGTTAAATTATGAAAATTTAAGTTATACTAAATTCCTGTGTTAAAGAATAATTCATATTAACCCCACCGTTTTACTGTGGGTCCTAAAAATATACATGTGTTTAAAGTAGCAATATATAGTTTTTTTTCGTAAATTTGATCCAAGCCTTAACTCATCACAGATCACAATTTCCACCCAATGTTAGGAATCGGAATTATTGGTGGAAAAACAGATCTTTGAAACCTATCCTTTTTAAAAGAGACTTGAAAAATAAAAAATGCAAAACATTATGTAATTTGATTTACAGAAAAGGCAGCACTTTGCAAAGACCACACATCAGCTTCTTCTAAACGGTTGCATAATTGGCAACATTAGAAATAACTTCAATGCTGTGAGATCCAAGGATGTTTATTACAGCAATTATTATGTCCGAAATCTCAATATCTGCAACTCATCTCCTGGCAGGTCTGGTATGAAGTTCTCTGTAGATCCAAATGCTGAAAGAGTTAAACACTGTGTAGATTTACAAGGGAAAACTTTAGTCCTCATTCATACTCACTAATCAATATGCTGTGCAATAAATTGTAAAAAAGCATAACTGCCTATTTATTAGCAGAATGCCTATCTATTCTGTGCCAAATAAAATATTTTAAAATCAGATTCTTGCAACTGGAAATTATTCTTCATTTAAGATTATATCTTGAAAAAAGACTTGCAATGATGTTACTCAGTACTCGTTCTTCCACTAATTTATCCGGTCTAGTTACCTACCAGCAATTCCTAGATCCGTTACTAAAGCATGAGAATCTTACTATCAAAACTCTCTCTTTGGTTTCATGTCATATGGATAATATTTATCTTGATATGTAATTATTTTCTTCCAGAAATTTCTAAAAAATGAACTATCTACTAGTTATATTTGAAATACAAATGAACATAAAAAGGAATTCTCAAATATTTTATCTGATGAACTTGCTTTTCCCAATTGCTCCTGTGCTACACAGTCCTATTCAAATTGTAGGATATTGTCTGGTTGCACTCATTCAGTTGTAAACATAAGCTCCATTAACAGGTGTCACTTGGTGGACAGACACATGTTCTAAGGATATAGGGAGGATATACAGTAAACCATCAAATAAGTGTGTTCTCAGAGATCAAACATCCTCTGCAACAATGCCCCACATGAAGGCTGCAATATAAATGCACGTTGTTTTGTGTGGGTGAGGAGAGAAAAGGAGGCCGAGGAAAGAGTGAGGATAGAGAAATAGAGAAAAAGGGGGAAAGTGGAAGAGAGGGGAGAGAGAAAGGGGGGAGAGGGAGTCCATCACTTGCTGAATGGACCATCCATTAAATGGCTAATGGAGTCCTGTAGCTCAGTGGTTAGAGCACTCGCTTTGCAAGCGAGAGACCTGAGTTCAATTCCAGGCAGAGGGCGAAACCTTGGGCAAGTTTCCTTACTCCACACAGAGCCTAATAATAATCCCTCCAAAACCAAAAACAATAATAAATTGGTCATTTCAATCTACGACTGTTTGTGGGTCATTGCTGTGCGCCATTGGCTGCCGCATTCGCCCACAAATATACAGTCAATTCACTTTACAGTGTGTTCTGTGAAGCGCTTTGGGATGTCCTCCCGATGTGAAAAGCGCTATATCAAATGCAAGGATTATTATTATTATTATTAACCACCGTCATTGAGAGTATTAGAGCATTTTGGCCCCAGAGGGATGGGGGGGGCAGGGGTTACCTGAGAATGTCACTAAGTTAATAATTGGATGTTTTAGCTGCTCAAGAACTAGATTTGCATCGCAAGGTGCATGGTTAACGGTTGCCCTGTTTTGCCCACACAATACACAGTCACTCGATTTTATGGTATATCTAATGCGTGAAGCATTTGAGACGTCTTGATGGTGTGAAGAGTGGCAAATCAAAATGTAAGGATTATTAATGCTGGGAAAAGGAGAGTGGAACATCATATAAGTGTCCCTCTGCATATCTGTTCTACATCAACTGTAGATCTGAATCTGTGAGTCACAGGCAAACACCAAGAATGTAACTCATTATCTGCGGGTTACAGGTAAGTTTTCATGTATGTAGGACAATGTGCCTTGTTCTGCAAAGTCAGAGACCACATGTCCCTCTCCACGTAGGAGCCACTTTGTTGTCAGCAAACCTTCTAAACCCACAGGACCTCGGGCGTGAATCCGTGCTGTGCTAATTCCAACTTCTGCACCTGCAGAAAAACACATTAAACCTGAGATATTTATAGTGGACAAATTTAAGTCAATTACATTTAAAGACACTAATTATAGCCACTTTATTTCATTTACACTAAGCCTTAAGAATGATGAAATAAGTGTTTCAATAAGTTCCAATGCAGAATTTGGACAAAATCATTCAGATTTTTACACCACAATTCAAGTCTGGCAGAAAATTCTGCATTTAATAAGCAAAATGGAGAAAGATGGATTCCTGAATCAACAGGAGAATACAAAACAGAGAGAAAGCTGCAAATGGGTAAGTGATTCCTGAACAGGATTTTAATGAAAGCACAAATGGAAGTTTTACAAAAACTAATTTCTACATTTGGTTCAGCCACTTACCAAGTCCAAAGCGATATCCATCTGAGAAGCGAGAGCTTGCGTTCCAGAACACACAGGCACTGTCAACATGCTGCATGAAGTATTCTGCTGTTTCCTCTAAAATATAGCAGCAAAACAGAGTACTTTTACAATGCATTTAGGACCATTTCCTGAAGCAACCTGTCATCAGGCCCTTAGGCTGATCACTTTGAAAACTGAATACAGTTCTGGTTATTGTGACATCAGGCCTTAGAGATGGTGCAGAGGATGATCCCCAGAGTTAGAGAAATGAGCTGTGAGCAATGACGAGACAAGCTAAAGGGTTCTTTACGGCAAACTACGGCACTACCTCACCCCTCACACTGCTGAAACCCTGGTTCACGCCTTTGTCACCTCAAGGCTGGACTACGGGAACTCTCTACTCGCCGGCCTTCCCGCCACCTCCCTCCACAAGCTGCAGGTCATTCAGAACTCTGCAGCTCATGTACTGTCCCGCACCAGACACCGCGACCACGTCACTCCCACCCTCGCTCGCCTCCACTGGCTCCCCATCCCCCAGAGGATTGATTTCAAGATCCTCATCCTCACCTACAAGGCCATTCACGGCCTTGCTCCCTCCTACCTCTCTGACCTACTATCCCCCCACCTACCTGCCCGTACCCTCCGTTCCTCTGGCTCCGGTCTGCTCCACGTCCCCCGCCCCAACCGCCCTACCATCGGTGGTCGGGCCTTCAGCCTCTCAGCCCCCAGGCTCTGGAACTCCATCCCCATGTGCCTTCGCCTTGCTTCCTCCCTTTCCTCCTTCAAGGCCGGTCTCAAACCTTTCTCTTTGACCGTGCCTTCAGCTCCCCTCTCGACTCTCTTCCCCCTCCTCGCTCCCTCCCTTCCCTCCCCTCACCCTGACCATTTCCCCCCTGCTCGGGTCATGACCCAACTGTGCAGCGCCTTGGGACGTCCTCCTGACGTGAAAGGCGCTTTATAAATGGAATCTTGTTGTTGTTGTTGTTGTTGTTGTTCTTCAGACTCAGAGGGGCATCATATAAATGAATAACATTTTAAATGGGATTGAAAAAGAAAATCCGGATCCATACTTTAGGATGTATCACGACAACAACAACAAGATTCCATTTATAGAGCGCCTTTCACGTCGGGAGGACGTCCCAAGGCGCTGTACAGTTGGGTCAGGAGCCGAGCAGGGGGGAAATGGTCAGGGTGAGGGGAGGGAAGGGAGCGAGGAGGGGGTAGAGAGTCGAGAGGGGAGCTGAAGGTCTTGAGACCGGCCTTGAAGGAGGAAAGGGAGGAGGCAAGGCGAAGGCACTGGGGGATAGAATTCCAGAGCCTAGGGGCTGAGAGGCTGAAGGCCCGAGCACCGATGGTAGGGCGGTTGGGGCGGGGGATGTGGAGGAGACCGGAGCCAGAGGAACGGAGGGTACGGGCAGGTAGGTAGGGGGATAGTAGGTCGGAGAGGTAGGAGGGAGCAAGGCCGTGAATGGCCTTGTAGGTGAGGATGAGGATCTTGAAATCGATCCTCTGGGGGATGGGGAACCAGTGGAGGCGAGCGGGGGTAGGAGTGATGTGGTCCCGAAGCCTGGTGCGGGACAGTACACGAGCTGCAGAGTTCTGAATGACCTGCAGCTTGTGGAAGGATGTGCCGGGAAGGCCGGCGAAGAGAGAGTTCCCATAGTCCAGCCTTGAGGTGATAAAGGCGTGGACCAGAGTTTCAGCAGCGTGAGGGGTGAGGTAGTGCCGTAGTCTGGCGACATTCCGGAGGTGATGGAAGGCGGTGCCAGTTGTGGCGCGGATATGAGGGAGAAAGGACAGCTCAGGGTCGAACAGAACACCGAGGTTCCTGACTGGCTTTGAGAGGTGGAGAGTGCAGCCTTGGATGCTGATGCTGTCAGCGCTTGAGGTGCGGAGGCGCTGACGTGAGCCAATCAGGAGGGCCTCAGGTTTGTGCACGTTGAGCTGAAGAAAGTTGTCTCTCGTCCAGGACTCGATGTCGGACAGGCAGCTGTCAGGACATCGGGGGTCGTGGAGTTGAGGGTAGAGGAGGAAAGATAGAGTTGGCTGTCATCCGCATACATGTGGAAGTTAACCCCATGTCTGCGGATGATGTCACCAAGGGGGAACATGTAGAGGGTGAAGAGGAGGGGACCGAGCCCTGAGGGACACCGCACGAGACAGTGCGGGGGCCGGAGGAAAAACTATTCGTGGAAACAAAGTGAAGACAGTGGGAGAGGTACGACCTAAACCACTCAAGGACAGGGCCTTGGAAGGTTGAGGTGGGAGGACAAGCGGTGGAGGAGGATAGCATGGTCGACCGTATTGAATGCTGCCGATAGGTCGAGGAGGACGAGGAGGCAGCAGAGGGAGCCCTGGTCACAGATGGTCAGGATGTCAGTAAGTGGAGGTGGGTGGTGAACCAGGGGGAGGAGCGAGAGTAGGAGACAGTACGGGAGGTGATGGGGGCAAGAGTGTCAAGTGTGGAGGAGAGGGTGTTGTGGAGGAGGGTGAGAGGAGAAGAGGGGTCAGTGAGGGTTGAAGGCCAGAGGGAGAGGAGTTCAGAGGACTCCAAGGCAGCGGTTACGGATTGTGGGGGTAACTTCTTCCAGGGGCGGTAGAAAATGGTGGTGGGTCTGGTGGAGGTGGGGAGGGGGATGGAGGTAGTGAAGGAGATGAAGTGGTGGTCGGAGACGGCCTTGTCGGTGATAGTGACATCCGAGACACTGAGGCGCCGGGTGATCACCAAGTCGATCTGTGAGTGTGGAGGGAGAGGTTGAGCGAGGAGAGCAGGGAAGAGAAATCTGAGAAGATGGAGCAGGAGGGGGTGAAGTGCAGGTTGAAGTCGCCCAGGATGATGAGGCGATCAGAGCAGAGGCAGAGAGATGTAAGAAGTGTCGAAATATCGGAGATGAAGGTGGGAGAGGTTTTAGGGGCCGGTAGAGGAGGATTTTGAGAGAGCGGAAGGAGGGGTGGGAGAGGGTGAGGTGCTCGAAAGAGGGGAAAGAGCCAGAGGAGTAGGGGGATAGGGCAAGTGGTGTCCTTGAGATAAGGGCTACACCACCGCCACGGCGGTTGGGGCAAGGCAAGTGGTGGGAGGTGTAGCCGGGTGGTGTGGCCTCCGTGAGGGGGAAGGTGTCGCTTGGGGTGAGCCAGGTTTCCGTTAAGGCCATGATGTCAACGCTCTCATCAAGGATGAGATCATGACCAACCAGGGCCTTGTTACAGAGGGAGCGGACGTTTTGTAGTTCGATGTGGAGGGAGCGGTTGACAGAAGGGTGTGTGGGAGGGGAGGGGGGTCCAGGTTGTGAAGCAGGGGTGGGGGAAATGGGGATACGGGAGAAGAGGTTGGCTCCCCGGGTCTGTGTCCGGGGTGGCTGGCGAGTGTGGTGGGGAATGGGGCAGTCGGTGTGGCTGCTGCTGGACAGCCAATGCCGAGTGCCATGGTGAGCTCGGCGGAGGATTCCCAGGCTGGAACAGAGGAAGGTTGTAGGAGGGTCAAGTGGGGATAGAAGGCGAGAGGGACGGAGAGAGAGGACAGAGCGGGAGAGATGCAGAGGGGGGAGGGTTTGGGGGTAGAGAGGAGGGAGGAGGCTCGGGTCATAGCGGCAGCCATAGTGCGCACGCGGGGACCGGGGGCGAGCGGTCAGGTGGATGGAAACATTATCCCATAGGCTGGGGCTGGAGCAGCCAACCTAACAGGACCATTGTGGGCCCTGATGTGAGCCCTGGGGGTGGGGGGCACTGGGTTTTTTTTTGCGCGCGCACTTCACACTTCTGAAAACTAAACTACGACTGCGGAATAAGAGGACATAAGTTTAGGGTTATTAAGAGTAACTTTAAGACAGATATCAGGAAGTTTTTCTTTACACAGAGGGTAATCAACGATTGGACCAAGTTGCCAGGAAAGGTGGTTGAGGCCAGAACACTGGACTCATTTAAAAATAATCTCGTCACTAAAGTAGGATGTAGGGTGTGTAGATCTTCTGGAGAGATGACATTGGATGGGCCAAAGGGCCTTCTTCATCCAGACCAATCTTGTGATGCTATAAACATGACTTACCATTTTCTGTAACGATGACATCAGTATGGGAACTGCCATATTTATGAATGTGTTCTATTGCTTCCTTCATTCCGTCCACAACCTCAATACAACATTCTAGATCTCCATATTCTGTGCGCAGGGAATTCACTTCTGAAGGGCTGAACGTGAGGTATGATGCAAAGTGAGGCCCAGCATGGATTTTCACCTGTAAAAATATACTTCTGCATATGTCTTTTTTCTAAATATTATTTTCTAAATAACAGAACAACAGAAATATATATTTGGTGCATTTTTTTGTATTGTTTTTTGTTTCTTCAAAAAGCCATCCACAAAATGTTGTGGATGTTCAACCATAAAATACACAAAGTCACACTACTGTATATCTTGTGAAACGTTTTGAGACGTCTCAACGACTTCTTAAGATACTATATCAAATGCAATGATTATACTGGGATGTCTTTCTGATGTGAAGTGTTAGAGTTATTATCCATCTGTTCTTTCTCCATAACCTCGACAACAAATTGCAATGAAGCGCCTTTTATGCCAGAAAGACCTCCTAAGACTATGTATAGTGAAAGTTTGTACCCAAGCTGGGGGTTGGAATCAAGAGGGGTGGAGAGCAAGGGGGTGTGAGTAGGAAGATGACCAAAGGCACGGTCGAAGGGGAAGGTCTTGAGACTGGCCTTGAAAGAAGCAAGGGAGGGGTTGAAGTGGGATGGCTCTGGATGGAATCCCAGACTGTGGGGACAGAAAGGCTGAAGGCCCGACCACCAATGGTGGAGCAGGCGAGTTTCCCCAGAACGGACACAGCAGACAGGCAATGTTGCGGATCATGTCACGGATGTGGGGTTTAAAAGACGTTTGAGGGTCGTACAATACACCAAGGTTCTGTCATGGATCAGTGAGTGGATCCATGAATAGTGATGCTATCAGCCACTGAAGTGAGGATGTGCTGACGGCAGCCAAGCAGGAGAGCCTTGGTTTTGTCAACATTCAGCTGGAGAAAATTGGCTCTCGTCCAGGACTTGATGTCTGATAGACTCTTAGTCAGGACAGCAGTGGTCCTAGAGTCAAGGTATCAGTACACACATGTGGAAGTTAACCCCATGTCTGCAGATATCCCCAAGGAGTATGTAGATATTAAAAAGGCAAGGACCAAGGACAGAGCCCTGGGGAACACTGCACATGATGATGTGAGGGCTGGAAGAGAAGCTGTTGGTAGATATAAAATGGAGACAATGTGAAAAGTAAGAACAAAACCAGGCAAGGACAGAACCATGAAGGTGGGGCTGAGAGGAGAAGCAATGAAGAAGAATAGAGTGTTGACAGTGTCGAAGGTGAAAGAGAGATCGAGAAGGATGAGTAGACAGAGAGAGCCCTGGTCATAAATGGACAGATTGTCATTTGTAACTTTGACTAAGGCTGTCTCTGTACTGTGGGCAGCACCAAAACCAGACTGCAGAGGTTCATAAGGGAGGAAATAGCGAAGCAACGATAGTTTGAGAAGAGAGATGAGTCAAGGGAAGTTTTTTTGAGGGTGGGGGTAATGACAACTGTTTTTAAAGGCGTGAGAATGGTGCCAGCAGGCAGAGAGAGGTTCACTATGCCTGTTCGTAGAGGAGGAAAGGAGGTGAAGCTGGGAGGAAAGTGGAGGGGTAGGGAAGGGTCAAGGGAGCAGGTGGTCGCTTCATTTTGGAGATGGAAAAGAAGGATAGACCGGGTCAAAAGTGTGGAGGGATAGGTGGGGTTGGAGGGGGAGGTGGAGAAGGGGTGACAGTAGAGAGGTCAAAGGCAGCTGAGCGGATTCTCTCAAATGTGGACTCAAGGATGTCCATCATGTTCTTGCATTTGGAGTTGGAGGAGAGTAAAGGTGAGGTGTGGGAAGGTAGACAGAGGATCTGGTTTGTGGTGGAGAAGAGGAGCTTGGGGTTGTCCTTGGCCTCCAGGATGATCTGGAATAGAAGGACAACTTAGCTGAAGCGAGCGTAGGTTTTGACATGGTCTAGCCAGATCTGGCGTTGGATTGTGGCAGGTGCATTCAGTGGCACGCACCTGTGACTTGAGGGAGCGAATACCATTCGTCGGCACTTGTTTGTTTAATTCCCTTGGACATTGCTCTAGTAGTCAATATACTGAAAACCCTCTGGTAGAACAGTTCCTTCTTAACTTTTCCTTTTGTGGAGTCCTGTAGCTCAGTGGTTGGAGCACTCGCTTTGCAAGCGAGAGACCTGAGTTCAATTCCAGTCAGGGCGAAACCTTGGGCAAGTTTCCTTACTCCACACAGAGCCTAATAATAATCCCTCCAAAACCACAAACAATAATAAATTGGTCATTTTCAATCTACGACTGTTTGTGGGACATTGCTGTGCGGAACTGGCTGCCGCGTTCGCCCACAAATATACAGTCAATTCACTTTACAGTGTGTTCTGTGAAGCGCTTTGGGACATCCTCCCAACGTGAAAAGCGCTATATCAAATGCAAGGATTATTATTATTATTATTATTATTTATTTCGTCACAATATTGAATTCCCACCCTCTTGTCTTTGAATCCCTACCCAGTGGAAATAGTTTGTTATGATTAAATCTATCCCTCGCCTTCTTGCCAACCACTTCCTTACTTTTGGTAAATATGTACCTTACCCCAATTATCTGCCATTCTATCCAAGGGATTTACAATAAAATGTTACATTTATGCAGCGTCTTTCACGTCAGGAGGACATCTCACATATGGACTGTGGGAGGAGATGACTTGATGGGATGACCTGATGAATGACCCTTTCACATTCTATCTTTTGACATCTCACATTGCTCAAATGATTTCCATTGAAGGCTATTTGTGCTCTTTCTGCTATAAAAGCTTAATCCAAGGTAAGTGAAGTGTCTGGTTTGTCAGACTCCACTCTAAAATAGGTTTCTAAAAGATAGTCATTGAAGAAAATTATGAAGAGTGTCTTTCCAAAAGGACTTGCTTATTTCATGTTAACAGTAAAACCTGAAGAATCTTTTCTTTACCTGTTCTATTCTGAGCATATCAATTAGCTGATCAAATAGAGGAGTCCTCAGCAGGTCCTTATGTAGGAGCAGTGTCTCCACAGCATTGCACGCAGTGGGATAATCACATTTGGAATCTTGAACTGGAAACAAAAGTAGTTTTTAAATTCTTGCACCACCGATTTCTTCACAGAATCTGCCGTATAATTATGTAGCAACAATTCAGTCGAAAGACTCTTCATTGCACAAGAGCAATGCATTTAGCTGAGTGCGCAGAAGAGCAATCAGCAACAACTCAAAGAAAGTATGAAAAGAGAGCTCTTCCTGTATAGCTGCGCAGATAGTAGAAAGTGCATTTACTTTCTACCCTATCATCAATGTGCATTCTAATACTCAGCATCTGAATTATCCCCAGTGGCAATTTAAGATTCACATTTTACAACAACAACATTACATTTGTATAGCACCTTTCACGTTGGGAGGACGTCCCAAGGCGCTGGATTCTAGGGTTGAAAAGGCTCTGAGATGACACTGGAAAAGGCAGACAGCACTGCAGTAATTCAAGACATTATTTTTTTTTGTCAGCCTCTTTCAGAAACCCATCACCATCCTTAATAGTATCTGTGTACATATGACACCTACGCATAGAAATTTGCATGGGTCTGGAATGCACACTCTAAATAACAACAACTTGCATTTATATAGCACCCGTCACACAGGGCAGAGTATCAATTGACAGGATCTTGAAATCGACCCATTCTGTGATAGGGATCTTGGTAAGGACTGGTGTGATGGGGGTACAGGGTGTGTGGGTGAGTATACGGGCGGCAGTGTTCTGAATCAGTTGTTGTTTGTGGGCAGTGGGGAGAGCAGCAAGGAGGACATACGAGTAGTCAAGGCAGCCAGTGACGAAGGCGTGGAAAAGGGTTTCAGCTGTGTTGGGGTGAGGTACAGTCAGAGGGAACAAAGAGAAGTGGTTAGGGACTGGATATGGGGGAGGAAGGACAGCTGGGGGTTGAACCTGATGCCCAGGTTATGTACCGGTTCGGTAAGTCTTGGGAAAGGCTGGGTGAGGAAGTCAGAGACACAGGAGGGAAGTCAAGGAGAATGGCTTGTTGTCATTCAGCTGCAAGAAGTTTGTGCCCATCCAGGCCTTAATAGCTGACAGACAAGATGACAGAACATCATCCGCAGATAATAATCCCTTCAAAAAATAACAATCAAAAAAGAAAAATTTGGTCACTTAATCCATGATTGTTTGTGGGACAATGAAGTGCGTAATTGGCTACCATGTTTCACCCACAAAATTTTCAGTCAATTCACTTTACAGTATATCCTGTGAAGCACTTTGAGACGTCTCAAAGACATGATAAGGCGCTATATCAAATGCAAGGATTATTATCATTTATATACAAAATGACTTGCTTCCCCCTCAAACTTTTCCCGAAAGCAGGAAATTGGATTACAAATTACTCAGATTATCTGTTGTTATTTTGCTACAATTTAAATTTGTTTCACCAAATACTTTGAATATAATTTTCCTTTGTGTTCAGAGTGTTCTACTTATGTATCTCTTGTATGCTTATGTATAACTCCTTATACTATGGCAGCCACAGGCATCATATAGATATATGATGAATAGGTTCTTTACAAATACCAAAAAGCAGATTATTAGATTAACAAATGGAGAGATTGATGCAATGAAGCTTTTTTTAGGCGCAGTTCTTACATGGATTACATTCTTATAGGATAACGTTTCAGCTCTGTACTTAACCGATTCACATACTTCCATGGGTACACAGTCATACTCATAGATACAGGTATATTCTTCTATATATCCATGCATATCCCGACACCCTCACTATAGCCATTTCTGAATTTACCAGTTCCTAGGTGCAACCAACTTTTCTCATGTTCGTATCTGCATTTCTCACTTACCAATCGTGATAGCTTTTTCTACACTAGCCTCTGAATCCAGGAATATGTGACAGATGCCTTCACTGTGCCCAAGGACTGGAATGCCTTTTGCTGCTTTTTGAATATCTCGAACTAATTGGGAGGAACCACGAGGGATGATCAGATCAATGAGTTTGTCCAGTCGGCAAAGATCCTCCACCTCCTCACGTGTGCCGACCTAAAATATAACACACAATACTAAAGAAATATAGAATTGGCTAATCATTAATAAAGTAACACTGTATCTAATTCAGGCCGGGAAGACCGTTTCTTCTTTTGCTAACAATCCATTTTCCCCAAATAGAAAATCTCCATCTCCATCTGATAACTGGAACCCTTTTAACCTGCAGAACTTGTGTAGCTCTTTTAAAATCCATTTTAGTTCCTTATTCCACTATCTGTACTGGCAGTTTGTTCCACAAGCCTATCACCCTTTCACAATTTTCACCCTGCCCTTCGGTGGGGAAGAGGTAGAGGTGGAGGGGAGGGACAGCTCAGCAAATGAGACCACGGTTATACAGCTTGAAAAATACTTTGTGCTCAAACAAGGTAGAAGTTCTGCATCGGTGCATACGCATTGACAGGAGCCAAACAGGAAAGCCTTGATCTTGTTGACAATCAACTGATAGTTGATTATCAAAAGAATGTTAGAGATTATCAGGACTTGATGTCTGTCTGTCAAGCAATTGGTCACAACAACATTGGTCCTGGAATCGAAGATAGAGACAGAAAGATAGTCGGGTGTCATCTGAGTACATGTGGAAATGGATCTCACATGTCTGTGGTTGTCACCAAGTGGAAGCACAGAGCTAGTGAAAAGGAGAGGACCGAGGGTAGAGCCCTAGATACGTCAGCCAGGAAGCGAATGACCAATTTTTTATATGGAAGACTGTTGGCTTTGAGACATCCTCCCAATGTAAAAGACACTCTATAAATGCAATTTGTTGTTATTGTTGTGGAATTGTTCTCCCAAGACTCTGGGAAAAACTCCCTTCTCTTTTTGATTAGTGCCATGGGAATCATTAATAAACATGCGTAGCAGGTTTAGTCAAGCAAAGTCATTGAAGCAAATTCAAAAATGGGTTCAAGAAGAAACCAGATGTTCTGGAGCGATGGCATCTAGGAGGAAGACATGTAGGTGGGGATAAGATTGTGGACTTAAAAAGCCGTTCGAAAACTTTTGTTTGAGCTTTTCTCACCTTTAGAGATCATGATTCCTGCTCTGAGTGTGGAAATTCAATTGTTATTTTGGTTTTCCAAAGCAGGTCTCAGTACTGAAAATCAAGGGCAGAATAAGTTCTGCAATATACACAGCAGTGTATTGGACTATATAAAAATGCGCCAGTAATACTTAATTTAGGTCACTTCCATTCAAGTCATGTACCTGAAGGATTGATCAGAACCTACCAATTGAATGGCATCCTTAATTCCATGAATGGAAAGTGCTTCCTGAGTCAGGCGGTGCAGGATATGGTTGCTGTATTTTGCTTCTTTCCCTCCTTTCAGCAACAAACCATTGCCACTTGCTATTGCCAGGGCAGCAACCTATACACACAAACAAATGCTTCAATTGTAAAGCTTCAAGCTAATATTTTTATTCACTTTTTAGGAGAACCTAAACCCAGAGTAGACTGGATGGGGCATTTGGATATACTTATAAAATAACAATGCATTTAAATAGCACATTTCACATAAAATGTCACAAAGCACTTTACAAATACAATTAAAATACAAATTAAATTCAAATTATATATCTTGGTTATTCACTTTGCTATATGGTAAGATCACAATAAATTGGGATGCAGTTGATTTCATCCTTCCAGAATACCCACCCTATTGTCCACCCAATACGGCCTCAAGCATTCCTTAAATAAGTCCAGACTACTGGCCTCAATCACTGTACCACTTAAACAAAACTAGCAGCTACCCCAAGACAAATGATGAAAGGAAGTATTGATTTACTGAATTATAATTGATAGCTGGAATTAAAGGACATACAAATAGCAGATATGAAAGTTAGTTCACATAAGTATTTACTGAAGGATAGAAGAAATCAGTGTCAAAACATAATGCACATGTTTACACTGTTTACCTGGCTCAGTGCAATGCTAGATTGGAGTGCTAGGTGTTACCACTTTTGCAATAAAATTATGTACACAATATTACTGAAGTGCATGAAGATGGCTACCGTAATTTGAGTTAAGGAAAAACAAGGCAATTAATTGATTCAAAATTTCTCCCCATATTTTTTCAATACCCATGTCCAACCCATGGAAAGGGTCTGAAGGATCTATGAGTTTGGGAAGGTTTTCTTACAAGTTGAAACTGCATTGTTTATATGAGATATTAAGATGAAATGTAAGATTTTTTAAAACAATGTAAACTATGACTTGGTGAAAGCCTATTGGCAGAACATGTAAAGTAGTTATCCTATGAAAGGGTGCAGGTATTTTAAATGCAATTTTCCAAAACTTTTCATCACTGTACATATCATAGAATCATAGAATTATACAGCACGGAAGGAGGCCATTCAGCCCATCGTGTCTGTGCTGCTCTTTTAAAAGAGCTTCCAAATCAACCCCACTCCCCCGCTCTCTCCCCATAGCCCTGATCAGACTCATTCCCCCGCACTCTCCCCATAGCCCTGATCAACCCCAATCCCCCGCTCTCTCCCCATAGCCCTGATCAGACCCATTCCCCCGCACTCTCCCCACAGTCTCCCCAAATAATTATCTACTTCTCTCGTAAAAGTTGTTATCCACTTGGCTTCCACCACCCTTTCAGGCTATGCATTCCAGATACCAACAACTCGCTCTGTGAAAAAATATGATCAGGCTTCTCTCCTCCCACCCTTTCACACAATGTGTACTTAATAATAATCCTTGCATTTGATATAGCGCTTTTCATGTCTTCTAAACGTCTCCAAGCGCTTCACAAAATAGATTGTAAAGTGAATTGACTGTATATTTGTATACTTAATACCAATGTACTATTATGGAATTGAGTCCATAGGAACTGTGGCAAGGGACCACGGGGATGAATTTTATGACGTGGTTGTTGTTGAGCAGTGGAGACCTGTGCAGCGATCGGGGGGGAGGAGCAATCAATAGCGCAGTTGAAATGATTGAAATCGTTGAAAGATGGGGAGGGATGCAAAGAGGAGTAGGGATCCACAGAGGAGTTGGATAACATTGCAAAGGGAAAAAATGTTCCTGATTGCTTGTGACCCAAAGGGAGGAAAGGGATGAAGTCCTTGATCAGGTGGATGGTACAGGCAGCGCTGCCCAACAGGAATTAATCAACAACACATTCACTTGTTTAGAATAACATCCAGGTAGCTCTGTGCACCACTGTTGGTGGGAGGGTGAGAAGGCCATGTATTCATATTATAGGTGAGAAACATGGCGGTGGGATGGGAAGTCGTTTGCAAAGCTAGGTGTGGAACTCGTACTTGCCATTATATATTTGTTGTTATTTATCCTTGGTGCATCTTAATGATAATAATAGTTGCATTTGATATAGCGCTTTTCATGTCTTCTAGACATCCGAAAGTGCTTCACAGAATAGAATGTAAAGTGAATTGACTGTATTTTGTGGGTGAAACGCGGCAGCCAATTGCACACAGCAGTGAGTGTCCCACAAACAGTTGTGGATTGAAATGACCAATTTATTATTGTTTTTTTTAAGGGATTATTATCAGGCGTGTGAAGTAGGGAAACTTTCCCAAGGTTTCGCCTGCTGGGAATCGAACCCAGGTCTCTCGCATGCAAAGCGAGGGCTCTAACCATTGAGCTACAGGACTCCACTTGCTGTTAAAAGACTGAAAATATTATGGGGCTCATATATAGAAGTGAAAAAGCTTTATATTTTATATATAAACATCTTTGTAGAATATATTTATATTCCATAAAAGTGTATAGCAGTGTGCCTAACTACAATGTGGCTAACTACAGTCTGTTATGATGTGTTTCCTTTCTGTAGCCCCACCTGCTGACTTTATTTTGGTCAGCCAAGTGTGTGACACATGTGAAACTCACTGTGCTTAAAAGTATTCAGACCAGACAGAGTTCCATGAAGCCCACTTCCACATGGAAATTGCTATGTTTGGAATGAAATGCACTCTCTCTCCGAATGCATGCACTATGCTTCCGTAATCTTGGAGAATATTAGACGCAGTTCGACAAGAGCTAAGGTTTGGGGTGAGTGTGCATTTAGGATACTGTTGGGGTTTAACCAGCTAAAACATTCAGAGTATTGTCTAACAACCTTCCCGTTGCTTGTCCAGCTGGGACTATCCTATCATTAGTCCTATGGCTTGCTGAGTTAACATTAGCTGTGAGTAGAAGCCCTGCCTCCAGTGACAAATCTGCACTTAATTTAGTTGTCATAGTTAATAATCTGACCCCACTTGTACTTTACTGTACAACATTCTATTGCACTTACACATTTCTTCTGCCTCTACCCTCTAACCCCACATTTACCTGGGGTAAGCAGTCTGGTCGCGATTCAAAAATCACCAGTAGGACACCAATAGGAACTGTTATCTGCTCAAGATCCAGCCCATTTGCAATTCTGGTCTTGCGAATCACACGTCCAATGCTGTCACGAGATGATGCTGCAATCTGCCTGATCCCGATGGCCAGGCTGTTTAGTTTTGCTGCCGTTAGACACAATCGTTTCAGTAGCGGCTGGGAAAGTCGTCCTGTTTTGAGTAAGAAAAAGAGATTTGGATTGTGGGAATCTTTCTGATAATTTCATCAGACTTCTTGTCTTTCTTATATTCAAATAAACATACAAATTATCATGAGATAAAAATGTTGTGAGACATGGCAATTATCACCAACGATCATTAGAACATTGTGATAAACTCAATAATCAGACTTGTTGATAATAAGACCGGACACGCCCATCCCTCCCATAATGGTCGGACCAACAGGTGATACAGGGTAGCCAATCGATTTCCCCGCCATGGATCTGGAGTGCCAGCTTAACATTTTTCCACAGTCTCGCCCCACCCTATCTCTGCAAACTTCTCAAACCTTACCAATCAGCTGATTCCTTCACTCAGCAGGCACCAACAATAATAATAATAATCCTTGCATTTGATATAGCGCTTTTCACATCGGGAGGACGTCCCAAAGCGCTTCACAGAACACACTGTAAAGTGAATTGATTGTATTTTTTGTGGGCGAACGCGGCAGCCAATTGCGCACAGCAATGTAGTCGTAGATTGAAAATGACCAATTTATTACTGTTTTGTTTTTTGGAGGGATTATTATTAGGCTCTGTGTGGAGTAAGGAAACTTGCCCAAGGTTTCACCCTCTGCCTGGAATTAAACCCAGGTGTCTCGCTTGCAAGGCGAGTGCTCTAACCACTGAGCTACAGGACTCCACCAAGCCTGCTTCATGCCCCTGCCCAACCCATCCCACCATCGGTGAGTGGGCTTTCAGTCACTTTACCCCCACTCTCTGGAACTCCATCCTGCAGTCCCTCCGACTCTCTCCCAACTACACCTCATTCTAGGTCTGTCTGAAGACCTACCTCCTTGACAAAAAAAAACCCAGCGCCCCCCACCCCCAGGGCTCATATCAGGGCCCACCATGGACCTGTTGGGTTGGCTGCCCCAGCCTATGGGATAATGCCATTCACCTGACCGCTCGCTCCCGGTCCCCGCGTGCGCACTATGGCTGCCGCTTTGACCCGAGCCCCCTCACCCCCCTCCGCCCTCCTCTCTACCCCCAAACCCGCCCCCCTCTGCATCTCTCCCACTCTGTCCTCCTCTCTCTCCGTCCCTCTCGCCTTCTATCCCCACGTGACCCTCCTACAACCTCTCTCTGTTCCAGCCTGGGAATCCTCCGCCGGGCTCACCGTGGCACTCGGCGTTGGCTGTCCAGCAGCAGCCACTCCGACTGCACCATTCCCCACCACTCTCGCCAGCCACCCCGGACACAGACCCGCTGAGCCAACCTCTCCTCCCTTATCCCCATTTCCCCCACCCCTGCTTCACAACCTGGACCCTCTTCCCCTCCCACACACCCTTCTGTCAACCGCTCCCTCCGCATCGGACTACAAAACGTCCGCTCCCTCTGTAACAAGGCCCTGGTCATCAACAATCTCATCCTTGATGAGAGCGTTGACATCATGGCCTTAACGGAAACCTGGCTCACCCCAGGTGACACCGTCCCCCTCACGGAGGCCACACCACCCGGCTACACCTCCCCCACCACATCCCTCGCCCCAACCGCCGTGGCGGTGGTTTAGCCCTTATCTCAAGGACACCACTTGCCCTATCCCCCTACTCCTCTGGCTCTTTCCCCTCTTTCGAGCACCTCACCCTCTCCCACCGCTCCTTCCTCTCGCTCAAAATCCTCCTCCTCTACCGACCCCTAAAACCTCTCCCACCTTCATCTCCGATATTTCGACACTTCTTACATCGCTCTGCCTCTGCTCTGATCGCCTCATCATCCTGGGCGACTTCAACCTGCACTTCACCCCTCCTGCTCCATCTCCTCAGATTTCTCTTCCCTGCTCTCCTCGCTCAACCTCTCCCCCCACTCACAGTCACGGCCACCCACTCGATTTGGTGATCACCCAGGGCCTCGGTGTCTCGGATGTCACTATCACTGACAAGGCCATCTCCGACCACCACGTCATCTCCTTCACCACCTCCACCCCCTCCCCACCTCCACCAGACCCACCACCATCTTCTACCGCCCCTGGAAAAGTTACCCCCACAATCCGTAACCGCTGCCTTGCAGTCCTCTGAACTCCTCTCCCTCTGGCCTTCAACCCTCACTGACCCCTCTTCTCCTCTCACCCTCCTCCACAACACCCTCTCCTCCACACTCGATACTCTTGCCCCCATCACCTCCCGTACTGTCTTCTCCAAGATCCACCCACCCCCACCCCCTCCCTCCCACACTCCGACTCCTACCCATCCTCCCCTACACACTTCCATACCCGTTTCCCCACCCTCTGTCACCAAACTCATCCTATCCCTGAAACCCACCACCTGCTCCCTTGACCCCATCCCCAATCCACTCCTTATCTCCCAGCTCCACCTCCTTGCCCCACATATCAGACATCGTCAACCTGTCCCTCTCCTCTGGCTCTGTTACCATTTCCTTAAAAACTGCCACCATCACTCCCACCTTGAAAAAACCCTCCCTTGATGCGTCGCAGCTATCAAGCTACCGGCCCATCTCCAACCTCCCCTTCCTGTCCAAGGTCCTGAACGAGTTGTCGCCTCCCAGCTGCGCTCTTTCCTCTCCACCCATTAATTATTCAAACCCCTTCAGTCGGGTTTCCATGCTGCCCATAGCACAGAAACTGCCCTGGTCAAAGTCACCAATGACATCCTGACCATCTGTGACCAGGGCTCCCTCTGCCTCCTCGTCCTCCTCGACCTATCGGCAGCATTCGATACGGTCGACCATGCTATCCTCCTCCACCGCTTGTCCTCCCACCTCAACCTTCAAGGCACTGTCCTTGAGTGGTTTAGGTCGTACCTCTCCCACCGTCTTCACTTTGTTTCCACGAATGGCTTCTCCTCCACCCCCCGCACTGTCTTGTACGGTGTCCCTCAGGGCTCTGTCCTCGGTCCTCTCCTCTTCACCCTCTATATGCTCCCCCTGTGGTGACATCATCCGCAGACATGGGGTTAACTTCCACATGTATGCGGATGACACCCAACTCTACCTTTCCTCCTCTACCCTCAACTCCACGACCCCCGATGTCTTGACAGCTGTCTGTCCAACATCGAGTCCTGGACGAGAGACAACTTTCTTCAGCTCAACGTGCGTAAAACTCAGGCCCTCCTGATTGGCTCACGTCAGCGCCTCCGCACCTCAGGCGCCGACACCATCAGCATCCAAGGCCGCACTCTCCACCTCTCAAAGCCATCAGGAACCTCGGTGTTCTGTTCGACCCTGAGCTGTCCTTTCTCCCTCATATCCGCGCCACAACTGGCACCGCCTTCCATCACCTCCGGAATGTCGCCAGACTACGGCACTACCTCACCCCTCACACTGCTGAGACTCTGGTCCACGCCTTTATCACCTCAACGCTGGACTATGGGAACTCTCTCCTCGTCGGCCTTCCCGGCACCTCCCTCCACAAGCTGCAGGTCATTCAGAACTCTGCAGCTCGTGTACTGTCCCGCACCAGGCTTCGCGACCACATCACTCCCACCCTCGCTCACCTCCACTGGCTCCCCATCCCCCAGAGAATCAAATTCAAGATCCTCATCCTCACCTACAAGGCCATTCACGGCTTTGCTCCCTCCTACCTCTCTGATCTACTATCCTCTTACTTACCTGCCCGTACCCTCCGTTCCTCTGGCTCCAGTCTGCTCCACATCCCCCGCCCCAACCGCCCTACCATCGGTGGCCGGGCCTTCAGCCTCTCAGCCCCTAGGCTTTGGAACTCTATTCCCCAGTGCCTTCGCCTTGCCTCCTCCCTTTCCTCCTTCAAGGCCAGTCTCAAGACCTTTCTCTTTGACTGTGCCTTCAGCTCCCCTCTCGACTCTCTACCCCCTCCTCGCTCCCTCCCTTCCCTCCCATCATCCTGACCATTTTCCCCTTGCTTGGGTCCTGACCCAACTGTACAGCGCCTTGGGACATCCTCCCGACGTGAAAGGCGCTCTATAAATGGAATCTTGTTGTTGTTGGTAATTTTTCTCCTCACCCCCCACCTCTCAGCATCCTTCCTCTGCTCGGATGCCAAGCCCATATTGCTGAGCACCTTGTGACATTCTCCCAACCTGAAAGGCGTTACAAAAGTGCATTATATTGACTTTGATCTTTTTGTTAAGGTGAGGTGGTATCCTACTAACTTGAACTCCAATGCAGTGATCACTCACCATTCTTTATTTGCGACTTTCCAGTCTAGCTTCTGACGCACCAAAACACAAACTAGCGATATTCTGATTGACATCCTCTTTGGCTCCTGTTAACCATTCCATTCTCCTTTATTGTCTGTTCTCTTGGGTCCATCACCATAGCTCCGTACTTGTTTTCCACTCCTACCTGTTTCAAAGTCTTCCTTACATTCATTTCCTCAAATGGCTTTGCATCTCATGCATGCAAGGTTATATGTGGTGTACGTGAGGCTCTATCTTCGCTCTCCTATTGCTTACTTTCTGCTTGACATGGAGTTACAACACCCTCAAGAATGAGGGCCTGTTTCCAAATCTATGCTGGTTTCTCTCTCTTTCTCTCAATCGACCTCCATCTCATTTCCAGAACTATTAATAATAATAATAATAATCCTTGCATTTGAAATAGCGCTTTTCACGTTGGGAGGACGTCCCAAAGCGCTTCACAGAACACACTGTAAAGTGAATTGACTGTATATTTGTGAGCGAACGCGACAGCCAATTGCGCACAGCAATGTCCCACAAACAGTCGTAGATTGAAAATGACCAATTTATTATTGTTTTTGGTTTTTGGAGGGATTATTATTAAGCATGTGGAGTAAGGAAACTTGCCCAAGGTTTCGCCCTCTGCCTGGAATTGAACTCAGGTCTCTCGCTTGCAAAGCGAGTGCTCTAACCACTGAGCTACAGGACTCCATACTGCTGTTCTGATTGATTGCTTGTCAGACATTAAACCCTGAAAGAGTCTCAACATTTTTCTACTTGATGTCAACAAAAGTTAAGTTTTTTTNCTGGTCTCACATCTTTGGTTTTGACTCCATTAACAGTAACAACAACTTGCATTTATATAGCACCCCTCATGCAGGGTAATGTCCCAGCTCGCTTGACCTGAAGATGGGGAAGGTGGGTGCAAGGCGGAAGGATTGAGGGAGTGTGTTCCAGAGTTTCAGGGCACAGTGACTGAAAGTGTGGCCACTGATGGCAGCCACTGATGGTGGAACGGAGGACACGTGGGACAAGCAGTAGGCCGGAGCTAGCAGAGGAGGCAGCAGGTCACAGATTGGGGAGTAAGCAGGTCGGAGAGGTAGGGAGATGCCAGGGCATGAAGGGATTTGAAGACAATTGGGAGCCAGTGAAGCCTGGCTAGAACTGATGTGATGGGAGTACGTAGTTTAGTGTGGGCAAAAACCTTTCTGACTGCTTCCTCAGAAGCAATCATTGTGTCTTACTTGACCCTCAACTGTCCTTTAAACTCCATTTACATTGTGTTTTACCATTTAAGGAACGTTCCTTGTTTACACCCTTACCTAATCCCCAGTGCTGCCAAAACGTACATTCATGCTTTTACGGTCTTAGATAACTCACGTGAAGCTTAGCCTAACATGTAGATGACTGCTACCACATATGAGGAGGAAACAGCTGGCACACTTGTTAATCTCCACTTTATCCAAAATGCCACAACCTTTGTTCTCTCCCACACATCCATTATTCAACAACAACAACAACAAAATTCCATTTGTATAGCACCTTTCACATTGGAAGGACTTCCCAAGGCACTGGACTATCAAAGTTTTGGAGCGGAGTTGGAGGTCGGGATTGGGCAGGGTGGAGGGCAGAGGGCAGCAGGGAGATCGAAAGCACGGCAAAGAAAGCATGGCCTTGCCTCGTATTCAGATACTAGCCAAGGTACATTGACTTTCATACCCACACATAGACCTAGTCCATCACCGTACTCTTAAATCCCTACGTATTGTGGAGTCCTGTAGCCCAGTGGTTAGAGCACTTGCCTCACAAGTGAGAGACCTGGGTTCGATTCCCGGGCAGGGAGAAACGTTGGGCAAGTTTTCTTACTCCACACGCCTCTGTTTACCAGCAGTAAGTAGGAACTTGGTTGTTAGTCGATTGGCGAATCGCTTTTCCGGGGATAATAATCCCTTCAAAACAAAAATAAATTTTAAGAAATGATAATAATTTAGTCACTCGATGCACTGTCTGTGGGACGCTGCTGTGTACAATTGGCACCCACAAAATATACAGTTAATTCACTTTACAGTATATTCTGTGAAGAGCTTTGAGAGGTCTCGAAAATGTGATAAGGCGCTATATCAAATGCAAGGATTATTATTATTATTACATGGTTTCACCTCTCCCTATCTATGCAATCTCTTACACTATTATTCTGCTCGTCCCCTGCTTTTTTGATTCTGCTTTGTTGCTTTCTCAGTCCTCACAATTGATTGCTAAGCCTTCAGCCACTATGCCTTGATGCCTTGACAAACTTCTTCCTCCCCTCCCCACTTGCAAAACCCTGTTAAAAAGACATTTTTTTCCTTGGTTTTCAACATCCTTAAATTTCGTTTTTCCCTGCTTGGTTCTCTATTCTATCTGTAAAGTACTTCGAGTCACTTTATAGTATTCCTTGGTCAGTTTGCCCCACACGTTATTTTACGACTTACCATAACTTCAAGAAATCCATGCTCACACATAGACAACCATTCTCAATTCCAATATATATTTGGAAGATATAAGGTCTCTATAACCAATGCTGAGAACTTGGCAATCCTCCATTCAGGTAAGGAGTTTTTTTTAAAGGTGAAGTAAATCTTTGAAAATTCCTATCAATTTTCTAGATCCAGTTGCTCTGGTGTGTGGAGGATGAAGAATGAGGTATTCAAACCTCAAAACGTTTTCTATAATACTTAAACTTACTCTGAAAAATATTATCTAAATAAAATTACTTTTACATTGAAACTTTGCTGTTTTAAAAATATTTTTTTTTCATAACCACAAAATTATGTTTCATTCTAAGAGCATTGTGCTTCATTGCAATCAGTAAAACTCAATATGTGATCAACTAAACATGGAATGGTGAATGTAGATGTACTCAGCACAACCTTCATGCCTGGGTGATTAAAGGTCAAAATCCACCTCCATTTGCTGACCTTTACCAGCAGCTTCCTCCACATCTCTCTTGTTAGCACTCAGGATGTCCTCTCGATGGTCTGTCAGAAGATCAGCTAAGCCATGGATAATCTCCGCCCTCTGCAGAACAGATGAAGCAAACACATGACAACAGCTGTTGAGTAAGACAGAGATGGACACTGGGTGAGAGAGGATTCATCAGCAGCATAAAGCACAACACTGCAAAGATACATTGTCAGATTTAGCATCAAATGTAGACGCACGTTATTGAGATGTCTCAAAGTGCTTCACAGAATATACTATAAATTGTAGTGACAGTGTGTATTGTGGGCGAAACTTGGCAGCCAATTGCACCCAGCAGTGTCCCACAAAGTCGTGGTTTGAGTGACCAGATTATTATAGTAGTTTTTTTAGGGGGTTATTACCACGGAAAGGAATCCACCAACTGACTAACAACCGGGTTCCTACTGACTACTAGGTAAACGGAGGTGCACACATGTGTGGTGTAAGAAAACTTGCCAAGGTTTCGCCCCAACCTGACCTACCCTGAAGCACCCGGGAATCAAACACGGGGGATCTCGCTTGTGAGGAGAGTGTGCTAACCACTGACCTATAGGACTTCACAATTATCCTAAATTATTGACCCCAAAGCACTTATGATTTGATATTCTTAAAGCCAATTAGGCCCTTGGCCTCCAAAGGCAGACTGCAACTATTGACGTCACTGTTGAGGTCACTTGTAAATCACCAGCAAATATTCTCTGGCGGGGAGCATGTGTGTGGGTAATAAAAGTTGCTTGTATTGTGATGGGTTATGCTGGAAATGAAGTTCAATGAGCATGTGCGCGGAACTTGGCTATGTCTTTCTCTGTTGGATGCTGATGTGTGTTCGTCTGTGCTGGGAACTGGGAATGGGAACTGATAATCCCTTTGGGGACAAGTGATCTTTGCAAGCGAAGTGTTTCAGTACTTGAAGTCTGGTCAGAATATATCCAAATAGTGCACAGGAATATATCTAAATGGGGAAGCACAGGGCATGGGGTGTCAATAAAGAAAAGGATTTAGGATCCAAGTTCATATAAGTCATTAAAAACTAGATCACAGGTGCAGAAGAATTTTAAAAAAGGATTCTGGGCTTAATACCAAAGGGTCAGGAATATGAAAGCAAGAAAGCACGGCTGCAATTGTCTTAACCACTATAATAACCATTCTTGCATTTTATTTATATTGCCTTTTATGTCAGGTGGACGTCTCAAAGTGCTTCAGAGGATTTACTGTGAACTGTAGTGACTGTAAGAACTGGTCATAACTCATTTGTAATATTGCGTTTGCGTTTGGATGATCACCCAAGGAAGGATTTACTGGCTGTGGACAGCTTCTAGCACTGATTTACTAGATTATTATTATTGTTACTTGGAATGAATGAGTTTCTTTAGAAGGAGAAGCTTTTATATTGGAGACATTTGGGATTCAATTCTCTAAAGTTGAGGTGGTCAGATGATGATCTGATTTAGATGTTCAAAAAGGAAGTGATTTGCTAAGAGAATGACTTCCTGTTGGTCTTGCGATATCAAACAAAGGGACACATAAAAAGTGAGATCATAAAACATTTCTTTGCACTGAGAGTTGTGAGAATGTGGAACCCACTGTCTCAAACATCTCTAGAAACAGAAAGAGATAACATAGAGACAGAGACTTGGGAAGTAGGATATTAATGGTTGGGGAGAAAATGTAGGGAAATTAAAAGATTTGCCATGAATTATAAAATGGTGGAACGGCTTGATGAACTGAATGGCCTCTTTCTTTTCCTAGACTAGAAATGAGTCTGTTTGCTGATAAAAGTCTGAATCATGTACAGTATTTATAATTTGATGCTTCTTTTGTATTTTACCTACTGCTTTGTAAATATAAAAATTTATATTGATATTTAAAAAGTCATCATAGATTTAAACAAACAGACTGAGCTTAAAAGTATGAAATAGGAACTTTCCTACGCTTAATGTGGCACAAGATTGACTGGCCTTTTCTATTCTATGATTTATTTTCCTTGATATGATATTGATATATCTGTTTCCTGCTTATGGTCTGAACTAAATAACATTTTAACCTGTTCTGGTTGAAGAGAAGCCAAGGTTCTGCTTGCAGCCCGTGCCATCTCCGTTTGCTGCTCCACAGTAGGACCTGGGAGAAAAAATAGTGAATTTGGATCTTTATCAGAACGTTCCTGAACACCCTGCATAAAATTAAGGCCTGAGCAATTATCACGTACAGCACCCATGCATTTCTAAACCATAACATTCAGAACCAAGAACAGCACTAACACTCACACGACAAATTGTTACAGCATGAACAAAACTCCAAAATGCTGAATGTCTCAAGTAGGCCAAAGTACATTTGAAGGCAATATTAGTGTTTCAAGCAGGAAATTGGACTTATAAGTTTTCACTCCAGCCCCAAACATTCAGTTTGGCTGTATGTTTCGCCCACAAAACACAGTATATTCTGTGAAGTGCTTTGAGACATCTCGACCACGTGATAAGGCGCTATATCAAATACAAGGATTATTACTATTGTTATGTTCAACTCTTTCATTTCAGGATTACAATAATAATAATCCTTTAATTTGACATACAGTATTGCTTTTCTAATCAGGAGGAAATCACAAAGCATTTCACAGGGTTTACTGTATTGTGTAATCACTGTGTATTTTGTACGCAAACATGGCAGCCAATTTGTACACAGCAACATCCCACAAACAGCCATGAAGTCAATGATCAATTATTATTGGGGGGATTGTTGGCCATGACACAGAGAGATATTTGAACAGGTAGAGGGGACCTTGGATTAACGTCTCATCTAAAGGATGGTACTTCTGACAATGCAGCGTTAGCATATACCTGAAAATGCAGACAGAACCTGGGTTAGACATTTTCCATCTAAAAGACAGCATCTCCAACAATGTAGCCTCCTCCAGTACTGAATTGCAGACTACGTGAGTTCAAAGATTTGTCTTTGGGGCTTGAACTCATAACCTTCTAACTCAGAGGTGACAGTGCTACCAAATGATACAGGTTGATACATGGCATAGCTTCCACGCAAGAGCTACCTGGTCAAACTCTGGAGGAATTACTCTACTATCCTATTTCATAATCCACAACCATAAAGCAGGATGATATGTTGGGCAAGTTTCCTTACTCCACATGCCTCTGTTTACCTAGCAGTACGTAGGAATCCGGTTGTTAGTCAACTGGCGGATTGCGTTTCCGGAGGCAATAATCTCTTAAAAAAACCATAATAATAAATTGGTCACTCAAAGCACTGATAATGTCAACCAGGAGATACCAAAAAAGATCCTTAGTATGTGCTAATTTAACTATTTTAGCCAAGATGGCAGTAGGATGTCATTGCTGGAAACATGCCTGTGTGTATGGCAAAGGCAATATTCAGCTTTATTAGATAAACCTCTTTGTCAACACTCAGTGTCATACAAAGAGATGCAGAGGGCCACCACATACGAGAATGACAAATATAGATTGGTGTCATTAAGCAAGAAGAAAATAGGGTTGAGTAATTTTTCTTACAACTAACATCTTCAAAGGAGAAGGGAATTTCTCACAGTGTCCTCGCCAACACCCGCTAGATAAAATTGGTCATTCACTTCATGGCACTTTATAGGACATTGCTACGTTTACCTACAAATATACAGTCATCGCACTTCATAATAACTCCTGTGAAATGCTCTCAGATGTTTCACCAACATAAGGCACTGTATCAAATGCAAGGATTATTAATACTTTTACATGTAATCAAGGGGGTTTATCAAAAAATAAAAAATAAATGGTCACCACGACTATTTGTGGGACACTGCTGTGCGCAACTGGCTGCCGTGATTCGCCCACAAATGACAATATATTCTGGGAAGCGCTTTTGGACGTCTTGAAGACGTGATAAGGTGCTATATTAAAAGCAAGGATTATTATTATATTACCATCACAGTAACAAATCACTTTTCTGGGGTAATAATCCCTTCAGACAAAATAACAACAAAAATAATTTGGTCACTCAATCCACAACTGTTTGTGGGACATTACTGTGCACAATTGGCTGCCGCGATTCGCCCACAAATATGCAGTCAATTCACTCTACAGTATATCCTGTGAAACGCTTTGAAACAATTCAAAGATGTGATAAGGCGCTATATCAAATGCAAGGATTATTATTATAAACAACACTCACCAGCAGGCTTGACCTCAGAGAAGAAAGTTCCCACTTTTTTGCCCTCCACGATGTCAGTGATCACATGACCTGTCACCTTTGGATGGGTTCCATTTGCTATGACAACAGCTGTTCCTCCTTGCAGAGCCCAAAGGCCGGCTTTCACCTGCATTACAACATCTGTATCACAGAATTGTCCTCATAAAGAATGAATATTACTTCAGAGTGAGTTACAGGCTGGGCCTGAGCTGAACTAGAACCAAGGTGCCAGCATTTGGGAAGTTTGCTTAATGTACATAATGTGAGGTGAACTGGTTGATTTTCAGCCTTTAATTCTTCTTTCTGTTGGTATTAAATCCATCATTTTTTTAAAAAAGTGAAGGGGTTAAAGCCCAGAGTGCAGGATACTAATGTGTAAACAAATAAGATCTAAAAAGACAGATTAATCAGAATGTGCATGTCTCAAAATGACTATTGATATCCATGCAGTCAGTCCCAATATACCTTGCTGTGACTCCACTTCTCCAAGTGTGTCAATCCATCAAAACACATTATGACATTCTTTAGTTCTTTTGTAAAATCAAGAGGTTTGGTCATATAAAACTACAATTGGTGGAATAAAGAAATTCTGATAGGAATTGGGAGAAAGGCTTCAGAAAATGGCAAAAACCATTGAGGTCCAGTGGAGAGCCTCAATTAAATGAAAGGTCCAAGCAGAATGTTTAAGAGAAGAGGTACAATTGATTTTTTTGATCGTCACACAGGGGTCTGACGCATTTGGAAAACAATCACCATGCTTAAGAGTATCCAAACCAGAGTTCCACCTATACATGGACATTTTCCTGTGTCTGGGATAGAATGTGCACTCTTTCCCTGGAGGGATGTATCTCAGCTAATGCTGGAGCGTATTAAGCACATGTTGGTGAGCCAAGGCTTGGATACCCTAGAGTGGGTGTTAAGGATGAAATTAAACCAGCTAAAGCTGCTTTACATGACATCAATAGCCCTCCTGGCAAGCTTCCTGTGGTTTGTCCAAGTAGGAACACCTTTGCCTTGAGCTGCCAAGAGAGAACAATCCATTCTCCAAGATGATTCTCCAAGTCCTGAAAAGAGCCAAGATGCCTAGTCTGTCACCAGCAGTGACTTGGCAAACTGCAGACCAACCTGCTCAGGTCAAACTGCCAAAAGGGCTTAGCTCGATACTGATACTTCACCTTGGAGTCAGCTCAGTTCTCAGAAGATGTTGCTTACTTCACCCCAAAGGAAGACATAAGAGAAAACAAATCAATGTAGATTCACACATTGAAGGGGAAGGAAATTCAATGGGAAGTATTTTCTGTGCTCTCTCTAGCTATTGTAAACAATTCTAATTTGATAAAGTACATTATCCCGTTAACAAGATTTCCTGGCCTACCAGTCATTGAATAAACAGAAACGACAAAAACAAGAACAAGTATATGCTACATTGAAATCCAATCTGTAGGATTATTATTAGTAATATTTTTTAAATATTTAATTTTATAATTTTTCCTTTAGAATTACACAACCTCAAGCAGGGACAGAAGATGATAACAGCGTTTGTAATATAAGCAAGAAAATGATCTAGAAGTTTCCCCTATAGTGATGATCAAAATCACACGATTAGCAGCTCAAAAATGCCCCAATCAGGGAGATGAGGATGCCGGTCTTAGAGAAGGATGGCACAGACTATCAGGAGCACTGCTGGTTTATTCCATGTTGAGGTGGTGGGGAAAAGTTGTTTACAATATAGATGTCAGAAAATGTTTCTTTATCCAGAGGGCAACTAATGGCTGGAACAGGTTACCAGGAATGTGTCTGACACAAGGAGATTGGATTTATTTGTGGAGTCCTGTAGCACAGTGATTAGAGCACTCGCCTTGCAAGCGAGACACCTGGGTTCAATTCCCGGCAGGTCAGGGCGAAACCTTGGGCAAGTTTACTTACTCCACACGCCTAATAATAATCACTTCAAAACAAAATAATAATAAATTGGTCATTTTCAACCCACGACTGTTTGTGGACACTGCTGTGCACAATTGGCTGCCGCGTTTCGCCCACAAATATATAGTAAATTCACTTTACAGCATATTCTGTGAAGCGCTTTGAGACGTCTAGAAGACGTGAAAAACTCTATATCAAATGCAAGGATTATTATTATTATAATTTTAAAAATAGCTTGATAATGCGATTGGAGGGTATTCTGGACGGATGGGATCAGATAGATTGAAGGGATTTCTTCTTCTGAACTAATCTTGTTATCTTGTGAATTCTGAAGGTATCAGATAAATTGAAACCTAATAGTTTGTTTAACATGGTAACATGTATAAGGGGATTGATCAGATGGCCTGCATTGGTTCTTTCTGGTCCTGTACATAACTAAGGTGCAAAATACACTGTAAGAAAGGAAGGGAATTAACCAGAGGATACGTCTGAATGGACCATTTCCAGAATATCTGAATCAGGCAGCCTTTGCCTGTTTGGTAATTACAATCCTTTTAACGTCCTATATCCTATGTTCACCTCCAAGGCCCTTTCTGATTATTTTCCAGTTACTTGTTTTTTGTACCTTCGCCTCCATGCCTCCAAGGCCCACTCTGGATTTCGTCCCAAAGGCAATAGACTGTTGGTCTCCAGGATAAAAGGTATCAATAAGTTTAGCATCATCTGAACCAGGAGGATTATCAAAAAGACCTGAAGGAAATGCAAACACCTTTTCTGAGATTCTCCAAGAAATGAAACCATCATTCACAAAAGCAAATTTACACAGAAACAATTTCAGACAGGAGCAGATCGCTGGTCTATATCACTACTCAATTTCCAACAAGTTTGCTTGAAAGTAAATAGCATAACATAACATGTAGGAGCAGGAGTAGGCCATTCGGCCCTTCGAGCCTGCCCCGCCATTCAATCATGGCTGATCTTCTAATCTAACTCCAGCTAATAACCAACCCTGCCTTATCCCCATAATCCCTTAATCCATTTTGCAATAAGAAATCTATCTATCTCGGTCTTGAATATGTTCAAGGACTGAGCATCAACAGCTCTTCCATTCCATACATTCACCACCCTTTGAGTGAAGAAGTTCTTCCTCAACTCAGTGCGAAAGGGCTGGTCTCTGATTTTAACAACAACAACAACAAGATTCTATTTATAGAGCGCCTTTCACGTCGGGAGGAAGTCCCAAGGTGCTGTACAGTTGGGTCAGGACCCGAGCCGGGGGGAAATGGTCAGAGTTAGGGGAGGGGAGGGAGGGAGCGAGAAGGGGGTAGAGAGTCGAGAGGGGAGCTGAAGGCACGGTCAAAGAGAAAGGTCTTGAGACCGGCCTTGAAGGAGGAAAGGGAGGAAGCGGTGAAGGCACTGGGGGATGGAGTTCCAGAGCCTAGGGGCTGAGAGGCTGAAGGCCCGGCCACCGATGGTAGGGCGGTTGGGGCGGGGAATGTAGAGCAGACCGGAGCCAGAGGAACGGAGGGTACGGGCAGGTAGATAGGGGGATAGTGGATCAGAGAGGTAGGAGGGAGCAAGGCCGTGAATGGCCTTGTAGGTGAGGATGAGGATCTTGAATCGATCCTCTGGGGGATGGGGAGCCAGTGGAGGCGAGCGAGGGTGGGAGTGATGGATGACTTCGCACTTCCCTACGTTATACTTCATCTGCCACCTATCTGCCCAATCACCTAACCTATCTATGTCTCGCTGCATTTTTTAAATCTCGTCCTTTGTGTTAACACTTCCTCCTAGTTTTGTGTCATCCACGAATTTAGATATATTAACTTCGATGTCCTCATCTAGATCGTTGATGTAGGTGGTAAATAGCTGAGGTCCAAGGACTGATCCTTGTGGCACTCCACTAGTCACATCCCACCAATCTGAAAAGGACCCGTTTATCCCTACTCTTTGTTTCCTACCTGTTAACCATTCCCCAATCCACGTTAATATGCTCCCCCCAATTCCATGAGCCCTTATCTTTTGGACTAAGCTTTTATGCGGCACCTTATCGAATGCCTTCTGGAAGTCCAAATAGACCACATCCGCTGATTGACCCTTATCGAGTTTACTGGAAATATCCTCAAAAAACTCTATGAGATTTGTCAAACATGACATCCCTTTTGTAAAGCCGTGTTGACTTGACCTAATTATATTGTGCCCTAAATACTGCACTACCACATCCTTAATCAATGATTCTAAAAAATTTCCTATCACTGATGTGAGACTAACTGCCTATAGTTCCCCATCTTTTCCTTTCCACCTTTTTTAAATAGTGGTGTGACATTTGCGATCTTCCAATCCATGGGGACTGTTCCAGAATCCAAGGAATTTTGGAAGATCAAACACAAGGCCTCCACTATCTCATAAGTTCCCTCTTTTAAAACCCTGAGATACAAGCCATCCGGACCAGGGGATTTGTCACTTTTTAGTGCTAACAGTTTCCCTCGCACCAATTCTCTACTCATGAAAGTTGCTCCCTGTCCTTATCCCTTGGTGCATCTCTATTGCTGGCAGACTTGTTGTGTCTTCTCAGGTGAAGACAGATGCAAAGTACCCATTTAGGGACTCTGCCGTGTCCTTATCCCCCATTACAACTTCTCCCGTCTCTGACTGAAGTGGACCTACATTTACCCTCACTCGCCTATTCCTCTTAATATACTTGTAAAAACTTTTACAATCAGACTTATTGTTCGTCGCTCGCTTACCCTCATACTCCTTTTTCTCGCTCTTAATGAGTTTTTTAGTTTTTTTTGCTGGTTTCTAAAACTCTCCCAATCTTCAGATTTGCTGCTTTTCTTGGCAGTTTTATAAGCTTTTTCTTTTAATTTGATGCTTTCCCTAACTGCTCTAGTTAGCCACGGATGAATTGCTTTCCCTGTGATACTCTTATTCCGCAAGGGAATATGCGACCGCTGAGAATTTTGCACTACATCCTTAAATATTTACCACTGTTGGTCTACATTTTTACCTCTTAATCTTATTCTCCACTTTATTTTATCTAAATCTTTCCGCATACCTACAAAATTAGCCCTATTTAAATTCAGAATACTTGCCTTGGATTTAACTATCTCCCTCTCAAACTTAATGCAGAATTCAATCATATTGTGATCACTCTGCCCTCAAGGATTCTTAATACCTGCACTGCCAACTCGCCCTGTTTCAATACACAAAACAAGGTCTAGGATGGCCTGTCCCAGTTGGTTCTTGGCATGCTGATCTAGAAAGTTATCTCTCATACACTCAATGAACTCTTCTTCTGACCTGCTTTTGCCAATTTGGTTTTCCCAATCCATGTGGAGATTGAAATCACCCACTAATATCGCTTTACCTTTCCTGCATGTTCCACTGATTTCTTGATTAATACCCTGTGCTATATTGTGATCACTGTTCGGGGTCTATAAACCACTCCCATTAATATTTTCTGCCCTTTATTATTTTTTTATTTCCACCCATATTGTCTCGACCTCCTGGTCATCGGATTTCAGATCTTTCCTCTCCACTGCTTTTATTTCATCACTAATTAACAGGGCTATTCCCCCACCTCTTTTCCCACAGTGCCGATTTTTCCTGTAAACTGAGAACCCTGAAATATTTAACTCCCACTCCAGATCTCCTTGTAACCACATTTCAGTGATGGCTACTAGATCGTACCCATATATGTCTATCTGTGCTTTTAATTCATCAGTTTTATTCCGAATGCTTTGCGCATTCAGATATAACATTTTTACTTTCCTACCATTTTCTCTACTCTCTGATTCCTTATCTACTTTGCCAAGTTTCTTACCCCTAGTTAACATATTCCTATTATCTGGCATGCTATTCTGCACTGTCATCTTTACTTTTTCTAATGCTAACTTATGGTTTCTCTTACCTATATATTCCCCCCCCTTTTACTAGTTTAAATTCCTATTTATTTCCCTGTTTATTAGTTTAGCTAGGACATTTGTCCCAGCATGATTTAAATGCAGCCCTTCTCTCTGAAAGAGCTCTCTTTTGCTCCAATACTCGTGCCAATGGCCCATAAAAAGAAACCCCTGAGTTCCGCACCACTCTTTTAGCCATGCGTTCAAGACAAGTTTTTGACAAGTTTCCTGAATATTTTTAAACAGGAAATTGTCTAGTTCTTTTTTTAAGTGTTTTCAGTATCCTGTTCTGTCACCTGTGCCTATTCCACATCCTTCCTGCCCTTTTAATAAATTCAATATTTTAATATTTGCTATTTTGAAGACTCATTGTTCTTGAATTTCATACAGCGCAGAACTTACTTCAATGGAAATATCTCCTAATTTTAAATATGTTTAAGTCTAGGCGATGGAACCAATCTAGATGCCTTGACTGCACATAGTGCTTCAGTTATGGTCTCTTCAAAACCACAAACCATTTTAAGATAACGTCTCTAGATTTTTCATCACCATTAGCTTTAGATATCAACATTTTGTTTGCTGACGTAATTATCGAGGAACATTGTATTGAGGGTTTTAGTGGCATGTCTACCAAAATCCCAAGGTCTCTTTGCTGTTCTAATACCTTAAGTACATTTCTATTTAACACATATTCTGCACTTTCTTTCTGCTGCTGATTTATATATTTTTATGTTTCTTTGCATTCAACTGCATCTGACAACTTTCTGCCTATATACACAGCTTCTCCCTCTGAATTTGTGTACACTGATTTTCAGCATTTACCACTTGCTCCCAGTTTGATGTCATCAGCAGATTTGGATAACAATGATGTGACCAATCAAACTATTTTTAAAAATAATAAATTCCAAGCCCAAGTTCCAACCCTTGTGACACACGACCAACAAGTAGTTTCCATGCACTTTGCCTAAATTATATAAAAGCTATGCACCTTGGCATTCCCCAGTTACCAGCCCAGTTACCTAACTAGATCTGCACTGTATTCTCACACTTCAAAATGCATGACTACCTCACACTCTTCTGCATTGTAATCTCTATGATTCACATCCAAATCGTTCCACAATCTTACCCCACTCACCCTCTGCAACTTCCTACCAACCTGGCCACTCGCTTTGCTCAGTGAACACTGGTCTGCTTCATGACCCAATCCTATCCATCCCACAAAGGTGTCGGCAGGCCATTCAGCCATTCTGTCCCTGGTCTACTCTATCCCAGAATCCTTCCCCTCAGTCAAGGCATGTGTCAAAATGTACCTCTTTGACCGTGATTTCGATCAACTTTCCCTCTGCCCCCAACTTGTCTCCCTCCCCCAACGTGGGTGCCCAGTCAGAATTATCAAATGCATTGAAATGTCCTCCTTTTTTACACAAGTGTAAATTATATTGTATTCTATTGTATAATTCTATCACACAGCATTACATAGTGTCAATCCATGGCCTAGTGGCCCAGGAGCCAATTATGAAAGAATATCCCTTTAACATGTTCTTTGCTTAGACTCCACCCCATGCCCACCACTGAATGTACACTTTACTGGAATTTCACAGAACAACATAATGGCCCCACATGGTCACCCACCTTCCACATCAGAAAGGATGATCAGCAGATCTGCTTTCATTTCCACAGCCAGTCGAGCTGCCAGACTGTCATTATCCTTGATACTGATCATCTGCTTGAGTATAAATGACACAATAAGAGGACATTGTACAATTCAACAAATACACTTCAGGCTGAAAAGAGATCATCAGCAACAAACTATTATTTCTGACACAAAAAATAAAGGAAAAAGTTCTTTAAACTACACAACTTCGTCACCAGGTTCATTCTCAACCAAACCCAAAGAAACAAATAATAGAAAAGATTTCACCACTTAATAGAATCAACTAGATTTGCAAAATGAAAATCTGATTAGATTTCCTATCTTGTATTCCAATGCAAGCATCTTCAAAGAGCAAGATAAACCACATGTTGTTTCTCAAAACGTGTGTGGTTGTGGCTTATCTTGCTTATCTCAAAGAATTCTGCCGAGGATATGTAAAGAAACACCATTGTTTTTATGCTGTCACTAACTACCCCCCTGGAAATATCTACTCCACCACATCTTTCTGGACATTGTATCCACTCATCCCAGTTAACATCCTTGTAAGTCTGCACTCTCTCTGATGCTATAATATCCTTTCTGTAATATGGCAACTAGAACCTCATAGTTCTCCAAATGTGGTCTACCAAGATTTTATATGAATTCAATATTACTTCCCTATTTTTATTCTAACCCTCTGTACACATTTAAAAACTTTTATTTATTGGTGAGCGAGGTTAGGCAGCTCACACCCATTAACCCAATTAAACCCAAACGTCTTACATTGGGAACAAGGGTTTTCCCCACAGACAAGCCCCTCCCCCCCAAACTCTTTCGGACCCAAATTGTCAAAGGACATTGTGACTTGAACCATGTCTTCACGACCCCCAGAACAGGTCAGGTGATGGGATGGCCTCACTGGCAGGGCAAGTCTGGCCTGAGCCAGAGACCAGGTGCTCAACTGATTCCAGTGTTTTCCCTTCCTCTCTGTGAGGGATTTCAGTGCGTGGGTGGGTGTGTGTGAGGGCAGATCACACTCCTCAGGTAGGAATTGCTGCAATATCAACCCCAAACAAACAGAGGGGTGGACAGCACAACTGTAGCCAGGACCTCAATCCGTTCCGTATCCAGTTCTGGGCGAGATCGGGTCACAACACAAGCCAATCTCAACAGGAGAGGAATGTTCCCAGCTTTTGCTTTAGCTCAAGGAGTAACTGATGTGAACAGAAACTGCACTTGATCTTAGCCAAAAGGCCAAGAAAGCAACTCCTCTGTACACATAATGGACATAAAGCCAAGGACTTTATTTGTATTCTTTATTTGTCTAGACTGCTAACTTTGGAGTCTTGTGAATCTGAATCCTTACGTCCCTTTGCTCCTCTTCCCCTTTCACTTCTTATCATCCAAGGTATAGTTGGCTTCTTATATTTTTACAAAAATAAATCACTTCATACACGCCTTCATAACATTGAGGCTCGACTATGCAAACTCCTTGCTTGTCGGCCTTCCCAACTCCACAGGCTGCAGATCATCCAGAGCTAACTTTGCAGCCTGTGTCCTCTCCCGCACCAGACTCCGTGACCCTATCACCCCCATCGTTGCCCAATTCCACTGGCTTCCCATCACACAGAGGATACAGTTCAAGATCCTGGTCCTCACCTTCAAAGCCCTCCTTCAAAACCTCTGCAACCTCCTAACCCCCTACCGTCCTGCTCACTCCCTCCGCTCAGCGGGCTCCGGCCTGCTTCATGTCCCCCGCCTTGCCCACCCCACCATTGGCGGGTGGGTTTTCTGCCACTCTGCTCCCACCCTCTGGAACTCCACCCCGCAGTGCCTCCGCCTCGAACCTCCCTCGCCACCTTCAAGACACATCTCAAGACCCTCCTCTTCAACCGTGCTTTTGATCACCCTGCTTCCCCACCTGCCCCCCAACCTCCCCAATCCCGATCCCCAGCTTGGGTCCGAAACACTGACTGTCCAGCACCTTGGGATGTCCTCCCGACGTGAAAAGTGCTATACAAATGTAATTTTGTTGTTGTTGTTCATGTTCACCACCCATTTCCTCTATTAAATTTCAACGCCCATTCTGCAAGGCTATTTATGTCTTCCATTATTTATCAGATCACTTGCCTACAAATATACAGTCAATTCATTTTACAGTATATTCTGTGAAGCGCTTTGAGACGTCTAGAAGACATGAAAAGCGTTATATCAAATGCAAGGATTATTATTATATCCCCAATTGGTGCCATATGGGAAAAAAAGAGCCATTTAAACGTCTCATGTCTTTCCAAAGGACAGTAATACCCCTCTGTTTCCACCATCACCTACCCCCTGCAGATCACTATTAGGCTCAGGTGGAGGAACCACAGCGTCATTTGTGTTGATAATTGGAACAATGTTCATTCGAAGAAGTTCATGTAAAGTGCTGCTTAAGTTCACTCGCTTCTGGTCATCATGGAAATCCAAGTTTGTTACAAGTATCTGGAGACAAAAATAGGTAATAAAATGAAAATCTCTTTTCTTATATTCAATTCCTGTTGTTTACAAAATAGAATTCTAAAAATTACAGCTCAGGAGGTCTTTCGATTTATTGTGTCTGTGCGAGTGTGTCTGTTTCCCCGGCGAGTATGTCTGTCTCCCCAGCGGAGCTATCTGCTTTAATCCCGTTCCACTTTTCTTTCCCCAAACACATTAATATTGTTTCTCTCCAGATACTTTCCAATTTCCTTTAAAATAGCTTTGTGGACTCAGCTTCAACAGCCACTTGAGAAAGTACTCCACATTGTAACTATTCTCTTTTTCTTTGGGTGATAATCCTTAATTTGTGCTTTCTTGTTACTGACTCACCGATCAGTGAAAATAGTTTTTCTCTGTTTAACTAACGCTCCAACAAAACAGTTTCAAATTTTCAAGTCTTTCTACAAAAAATAATCTTGCATTGCTCACTATCATCCTAGTTAAAGTATAACAAAATGTACCAGTTAATCTAATTTAGACATGAATAGTGATGCAAACCACGGTTCTACAATTATAACACAGAAACAATAAAGTAACAGACCTGAGCAGCACAAATACTGTACTGTGTGAACATTGCTTCGTACAGAGCCATCAGCCCACTCTGTCCAGCTGCAGCACAAGCTCGAGCCTCCAGCATAGGCACAGACTGTGGAGAATGTTTTTTTGAAAAATTACACTTTTAAACACAGAAGTCTATAATTATAGAATGTTCCAGCACAGAACTTGGCACATCAAGTCTTCTCCAATGATCTAATGTAATCCCACTTTCCTGTCTACTCCTCATAGCTTCCAGTATTCCTCTTTTTCAAGCATCAAACCAATTCCCTTCCAAAACAATCTATGGACCCCGTCTCAATATCCTTTCAACTCACCATATCTTTTAACTGGTTCTGTCCAGACTGCAGTGCTTGCCGCACACTTTGTGAGAGCAGGATTTCATGCCTAAGGCGTTGCCTGCCAAAAGCCACTGCTCCACTTGTTACTATCATCATCTCTCGGTCTTGGTTCTTCAATACAGACACCTAAGGGAGCAAAATGAATTGAAAGAAGGTAAACCCTTAACGCTGAGATTAAGATATAATTTATTCAATAAGTAATCATAAAATAAATAATCCTTGCATTTGTTACAGAGCCATTCACGTCAGAAGAATGTCTTAAATACCTTCACATGAATTTACTATCAATGTATTGACTATGATTCTGTAGGTGAACCTGCAGTCAATTTACACCCATCAATGTCCCCAAATCAGCTATGAGTTGCAAGACCAATTTTATTTTGGGGGAATTGTTATAATACAATACAAATTTACATTTATATAGCGCCTTTAACGTCTGGATGGCACAAAGCGCGTAACAGCATTGGCTGGACATCGAACCTGAGGGTGGAAGCCGTGGGAGGGCAAAGATGACTAAAAGTGCAGGCAAAGAATTAAGTCTGGAGATGGACCATAGATAAGGCCAGGGTGGGAAGGAGTCAGAGAAACTGTGGGATGGAGTTCCAGAGAGTGGGAGCAGAAAGACTGAAAGCCGGCCTGTGGATCATCTGAAGGACACCACCTTGAGTAATGCGGCACACCTCTCGGATTGTATTGGAGTTGAAATCAGACTGTGAGGATCAAAGTCATGACAAAGGGCTTGAACCTACAAGCTTCTGATTCAGAGGCAAGAGTCCTACCAACTGAGCCAGGCTAACATACAGAAGTAAAGTTGCTATGGAAAGGAACAGAAACAGAGACTTGGCTTAATCTGGGAAAGAACTAGGAGCATAACTTCCATGTTGCCAAATTGTGTGAAGTCCTGTAGCTCAGTGGTTAGAGCACTCGCTTTGCAAGTGAGAGACCTGAGTTCAATTCCAGGCAGAGGGCGAAACCTTGGGCAAGTTTCCTTACTCCACACAGAGCCTAATAATAATCCCTCCAAACCAAAAACAATAATAAATTGGTCATTTTCAATCTACGACTGTTTGTGGGACATTGCTGTGCGCAATTGGCTGCCGCGTTCGCCCACAAATATACAGTCAATTCACTTTACAGTGTGTTCTGTGAAGCGCTTTGCGACGTCCTCCCAACGTGAAAAGCGCTATATCAAATGCAAGGATTATTATTTATTAAATTGTATGGAAAAAAGGTGTGTCTGTGTGTGTGGGGGGGTAGTGGGGGAAGTGTGGGGGGAGGGTGTGTGTGTGGCGGGGAGGCTGTGGGAGGAGGGTGTGTGGAGAGGGTAAGGGGAGAATGTGTGTCTGTGTGGCGGGGGTGGCCATGTGGGGGGGGGGCAAGGGTGTATGTGGGGGGGCAAGGGAGTATTTGGCAGGGGGGCAAGGATGGAGAGGATGTGAGGTGTGCATGTGGAAAGGGGAACAATGTCCTCACATTTGCACGGAATTGTTTTCAATGAGGCACATGGAAGAGCCCTGGTGCTCTCACGGATAATCCTTAACACGAGGTGGAAGTCCTGCAACACTATGTGGCCATCCTGCATAAATTAGACGGTTACCTTGATCATTGTATCCCTAGTTGAAAACTTTTATCTCGTTGATATTTTATATAACAGAGAAACTTGAACCTTATGTCACTCAGTGAAAATTCCTTCCTGTGCCTTAAATAGGATTTCTCTTGTAGAATATTTATACATGACATAAAATATTGAACAAGATTGTTCCACATCACCTGCTCGACAATGGAGGCAAGTCTTCCCAGTGCAAGTCCACACTCATCACCTCGGGTTAAGACAGCACTGCCCAGCTTTACCACAATGCGTTTCGCTTGTTTAAGATCACTCCGGTGGCCAAAGCAATTCCCTTGAGTGCGACTTAAAGGAACAGTAATAAATGGAATGTTACTCCAATGGCGGACGGATCTGTGCGCTGGCAGGCCTGCAGAAAGCACAGAAATTGGATCAGCAAATTCAAGAACACAATTTTAACTCAAGCCTAACAATAATGTTTTGTCCCATTCTTCTACTTATCTGTGAACTTTGTGAGCCTCATTAAACAATGCCATTTCCAATCATCAAATACTTTATTTCAGCTTGAGGTCTGGAGGAATTTTCTGCCTGCTGCTGACAATCAGCATAGTCCACAAACTGCAGTCACCAACATTTACTTACAAGAACAAACAGGACGCTCACAACAACAACAAATTATATTTGTACAGTATCTCCAGTTTGTGGAGTCCTGTAGCTCAGTGGTTAGAGCACTCGCTTTGCAAGCGAGAGACCTGAGTTCAATTCCAGACAGGGCGAAACCTTGGGCAAGTTTCCTTACCCCACACGGCTAATAATAATCCCTCCAAAAAAAACAATAATAAATTGATCATTTTCAATCCACGACTGTTTGAGGGACACAGCTGTGCGCAATTGGCTGCCGCGTTCGCCCACAAATATACAGTCAATTCACTTTATAGTATATTCTGTGAAGCACTTTGGGACGTCTAGAAGACGTGAAAAGCGCTATATCAAATGCAAGGATTATTATTATCTCATTCTGCTTTCCCCCACCTCTGCAAACATCGACCAGCTCTCCCCTCAGGCCGCCAAGACCTTCATCCATGCATTCCTTACATCTAGGCTCGACTACACGCAGCTCGGTTATTTAATAATAATCAGGCAGGGACCCTTCAATCGATGAGATTACCCAATATATAGGCACACGTTTCTGAAAGGCATTACATAAATCATGCAGGCAGCCATGGGTGGTATGGAAATTCATCGTACCCACTACGATGATTTGATTACAGCAGCTTTGCGAGCATGGGATTTGACATCACATTTAAGATTGGCTAAGGCAGGCAAGCAGAAGGCAGAGGGGTGCGCGGTGGAAGGACCCTGGATCCCTGGACGAAACCGCAATCGCGGAATGGGATGGAGTCAAAGAGGAAGAGGAGGTTTTAACCAAAGGAGGACTAACCAACTCCCAGGCAATTGCTACAAATGCAATAAACCAACATTGCAATAAGTGACAATGTAGATCATGGAGACGAGAGGGTCTATCCTCTAGACAAGCTCCAAATAACAACAATGATAAACCAATGATAAAATTTGCTGGTTGATACAGAAAAAGGAGAGATTGGAGGTTGTGTTGAAAATGGGAAGCCAGACAGGGAGATGCAGACAAAAAATTAAAAGGGCATAAAATTAAAAGCAGTTTTGGTAAATGGGCAAAGCTGAAAAAGTGCAGAAGAACAATGGTTCACTGCAAGGTTTAAAAGACAACATGGGACAAATTAATTCTACAAAGAAATCAAGTTGGGAAGAAACGTTGGGACAAATGGTTACTTCTGAATTTGAAAAGGTACGGAAGGAGTTAAAAGCAATGAGACAACTGATTGAGCAACATATAGATCCTAGTGTTCCACCGATATGCCTCTAGACAGAACATTTAGATGACTTATTGGCTAATCTGAAAGCACTCAAACAGTTAAATCTGCTTGATACATATGAGGAATAAGGAAAGGTCAAAATGCTGCTCTCTCAAATAAAGAAATTAACAGAAGTTGAGTGAGAGAATAGGATGGGTTTAGTGAATAAAAACAGCAAGAGAAAGATGTATACAGCATTTTTTTAAATTCATACTGCAGCCACTGACTGTGAGCACTTTCAATTCACTGACTACTAACACTCTGGTTTGTGTAAATAAACAGACACTCACTGCTTCATGCTGACAGGCACAGGCTGCTCAAAGCATTAACCCTTTGGTTTCCACATAAAGTTAAACTGTTTTTACAGCTAATGATCATGTCCAAGCTACAATTGAATCCCTGGTAAAGCCAGTAGTGCAAGTATTTTGAGGCAGTAGCACAAATAGATCAAATTTCTATTCCCACCTCACATGATGGTCACCAACTTTACTGCCATCATATTAACCAACTGAAGTGTTTAAAGAAACGGGAGATCTTATTTTGTGATTTAGTTCCTACAGATACTGACAATGGCTCGTTACACCCTATGGAGGTCACCTTCAATGCAGCGACTTCTTCTGGGACGACTTATACTTCACTTGCCCTTCCACCCACAAAGCCAGTCTTCATATTCAATTTTAGCTCGACCGTCTTGGCGGGTGTGGGGGGGGGAACGAGTGGATAAATAATATCCAATCAATCGTCTGTTTCACAATAGCGGCCAATACCTGCACAGAGGACAGGGTCTACATTGGCAACCGCGTGGGGTTTGTGCGTGTCAGGTGTGGTAGAGGGTGAGGTGATGGGGTTAATTGGTAAACTGCGACAGTTCAAGAAACAATAGTATTAAGAATGTCACTGTTCTGATTTATTTTATGCAACATTTACTTTGTCTGTTCCAGTATTTCAGTAATGATCAAAGCCAGCGGGCAAGGAAAGAGGGAACATCCACTGAAGTAATATTAAAAAAATTCTGTGGCCATACTATTTATGTTAATCATGATATTATTGATAATGATGTACTGTAATTACAGATGCTGATGTTAGTTGAAAGGATTTATGTGGTGGCTGAGGTAAAAGGGAATCGTGAAGATTCTGTTGAAGATTCTCCGCCGCTGCCTCACCCCTCATGCTGCTGAAACCCTCACCCATGCATTCGTCACCTCAAGGCTGGATTATTGGAACTCCCTCCTCATCAGTCTTCCCAACTCTTCCCTCCACAAGCTGCAGATCATCCAAAACTCTGCAGCTCGTGTACTCTCACGCACCAGTGACCCCATCACTCCCACCCTCGCCCGACCCCATCACTCCCACCCTCACCCGACTCCACTGGCTCCCCATCCCCCAGAGGATTGAGTTCAAGATCCTCGTCCTCACCTTTAAGGCCCCCTCCTACCTCTCTGACCTGCTGACTCCCTACCAACCTGCCCACTCCCTCCGTTCAGCGGGCTCCTGGCTGCTCCATGTCTCCCGCCCGACCCACCCTACCATCGGTGGCCGGGCTTTCAACCTCTCTGCCCCCACACTCTGGAACTCCATCCCACAGTCCCTTCACCTCGCTTCCTCCCTTGCCTCCTTCAAGGCCAATCTCAAGACCCTTCTCTTCGACTGTGCCTTTGGTCTCCCTCCCACCTCTCTGCCTTCCCTCACCCCTTCACCACCCCTCCCCCATGCTCGGGTCCCAACACCTGACTGCTTTGGGACGTCCTCCCGACGTGAAAGGCGCTCTATAAATGTCATTTTGTTGCTGCTGTCGTGATAGTGGGCTGTGTTGTCAGCTTGACCCACTCAAGGTGGGGACTGAACATTTCGCAAACCCAGAATTCTGGTCTGTCTTAAGTTGACCAAAAAGGATATCGCGAAGACACATGGGACTTGTTTTACTGAAATAAAACTGACTCTAATGGACTCTCAAGGACATTGGTAACATCAGAACAAAAGGAGTATACCGACCTTGAAGGATATGTTTTTAACCGTACAATGAATACTAAAAACAAGCTGTTGAAGGTCACACCGCAGATTTGGCACATGTGGCTAAAAAGGTCTAAGTTTGCGAATGAAGAAAACAAGTTTAACAGATCTTGAGAAAATAGATATTCTACAAACATGAATCGTACCACATTAACAAGTCGATTTCTAATCAGACTCTGTATCAATCTGAATAATTTGCACTGAACTTTATTACTCATGTCTTATGCTTTTTTGGACTGCCCAAGCCATAATTTTGTTTACTGGTGTCTTTATGTTATATGCACTCCATAATAAGGGCTACCGAGTTGCAATCAGACCACTTGCAGTTATCTAGCTTAATAAATCATAGATAAATGAGAGATCAAAAATCTTATTTTCGCACTCTCAAAGTGGGGACTGTAATAATAATAATTTGTGATGTTTCAAGTTTTTTAAGGCTTTTAATTAATCTTTATATACATTTAGAATGTAACCTGCTCATAATCCTTTTATAAGATTTGTTTGATTTAATTAACTAGTTTAGCAGGGGTTAAAAGTAGCTTCGCTGGTGAGGTCATCTTCAGATTAAATGGCTACAGCCTCAACACCTGCCTATCTCAAGGCTGAGAAACAAGCAAGCTGTGGAAGGCTGCAGAGAAGTCAACCATATCTCTCTCTCTGCAATGCAGCCCGCTGAGGGTGAGGGCTATCTTTGTGATAAGGGAAGGTGGAGTTAGAAATACATAAAAGAAGTAACTTTGAAATTGTTGAGAGTTGTGTAGAAGATCAGCACATTTCCCAGTGGATCGATATCAATTCTACTGTAGTCTCAGTTTTAATAAGAGCAGTGAGGTTCGTAAGGTCTTTCTCCAGTTGGAGTCTGGTGTTAACGCAGGTATTATACATCTTGATTGTTATGCTGGATAAAACCTTTATGCTGATGTGATAATAATATCAAAGTTAATGCAGAGTCTGTTGCTGCTTGTGAGTGAATAAAGACCTTCCCTTTGAATCTTTGTGTCAACTCGTATTGAGTAAAATGGGGCTCGGTAAACCTTACATTGGTCTTGTTGACATTCAACTGTAGAAAGTTAGCTCTTATCCAGGACTTGATGTCTGACAGACATTCTGTCAGGACAGCAGTGGTCCTGGAGTCAAGGGTGGAAGCAGAGGGATAGAGCTGGGTGTCATCTGCATACATGTGGAAATTGACACATGGGTCAGAGATCCAGCTGACCAAAACAAAAGCATCTGTAAAGCTAACTACATTACACTGGGAATGCAAATCTAGGTCATTAAATATACAAGGAGCAGATGTCCTAGTACAGACCTGAAGCACCCACTTAATACATCTCCCCATTGTGACTTCGCTCCCCTAAAAAAGATCCTCTTCTTCCTTCTCTTCAGCCAATTCGGAATCAATGTCTTGTCCTTGTTACCAGACAAGACCTACAATTTCTGAACTCATGTTAGCTGTCATTTATTAGTTGATTTTTAAAATAATCTTCCACTTTCTGTTGACTCCACAATTTTTCCAATAATTGAATGGTTTTCCCTTCAAGGTTTAAATTCCACTCCTTCTTCATTTTCCTAAAATATGACAAACCCCATGCCAGACCTTGGAGCTCACAGTACAGGCTGACATTCCAATATAATCTCAGCTGGGGTTAAGATAGCACTTGCCTCTGAAGCAAAAGGCTGTGGGTTCAGGACCCACGTCAGGAATTGGAATCAAATGTAATGGACTAAGCTAACACTCCAATATAGTAGTGGGAGTGTGTTGCATTGTCGGAGGTGCCGACCTTCGGATGAGATGTTAAGCCAAGGTCCCGTCTGCCTGTTGAAGTGGATGGTAAAGATCCCATGGCACTATTCGAAAAGAGAAGGGAAATTTTCCCACTGTTTGGCCAACAAATCTGTTGTGCGCAAACTGGCTGCTGCACTGCAACCATAAATAGTCAATTCACTTTACAGTATATTCTGTGAAGCGCTTTGAGACATCTCAACGACGTGATAAGGCGCTATATCAAATACAAGGATTATTATTATGGAACGCTACGCTGATGTCCTGTCTGCTTGTTCAAGTAATGATGTCAATATATCAATCTTCCATTAGACCTTGAATGATCCCAATTCTTTCAATCATAAAATGCTTACATCTAACACGGGAGAGAGCTGGAAACCAACGAGGCAGCATTAACTTGGCAGGGGCAGCACTGCAGCCAGACATCCAGCCAGCTTTGCACAACATGATGAAAATCAATAGGAAAACCTGGAAAAGAGCAGAAAGAGAAATCATGAACTCACACTATTTAAAGAAACCCAATGCAAAGACAATGCTGCAAGTAACAACACAAAAAGAAAATATAGGTAACCAAAGACACTTCTAGTCCCAGGTTGCTAGAAAATACAAGGAAACTCCAATTCATATCAGCTGAGGTGGTGGGGTTAATGGGTTCGGGTTACCCGGGGCAGACCAGGGGATTGTGTCCACAGTACAACACAGGGGCTCTGATTTCTCCATAAGACCATTGATAGATAATGTGCAGAAAAAAAACAATAATCTAGGTAATCCATCTGTAGTCCAAAAGCTTCTCATAATTCTTAAGTTACACATAAAAATTATTAGTTTTAATAAGTACAATTGGGCACACTTTGCTCAAATGCTATATTTCAGAACTAGTTAGCATAGATTGTTTCAGTTCTTTTTGTTTACTATTGTACTGAAGCAATTCCAATTAAATTACCAGCAATACCTACCACGTTTTGGCCAACAAGATAAAGAACATACGTATTTTTTTCCACAAATACAGTATTGCACAAAAAATAAAAAATCCAACTGCAACTTTGCTTGTTGAATGTTTGTTCCGGTATCTGTTGCTGACATTGATTCCAAGATTGTCAACTCAACTTTCTCAGCTAAAAGAACAGGAACCAAATTCAGAAAAGAACAACCCATTCGAACTCAAGCAACCAATGGGAATCTGCTTGGCAGTTTTCCAGGTGACAGTGCTTCCCAGGACCCACCCACTGCTGAGTCAGCAGCTGATGAAATCCAACACAGAAATTGCACTCCTTCTGGGCACGGCATTGACCAATTATAGAACTTTTAGAAGAAAAAATTATGTTCTAAAATCTGTTATATTATTTAAGAGTTTTCCTTTTAAACGTGATGTAAAATCTGACTTGTAAATACTGGGCATAAGCCCATTATAGACTCAACCATAATAAGTGCCCTGTAATAGATTTGCCCTCACCAACCATAATCCATTCACAAACAGAGGAGTCGGTACAAGCAGGTCAGAGGTAGGCAGATTAAGAGATCTGAATGTGAGGGCAAGGATCTTGAGTTTGTTCAGAGAAAGGAAACCAATGGAATCTGGCCAGCATTGGGGTGATGGATGCACAACGCTTGGTGCGGGTACATTGGGCAGAGTCTTGTATCAGTTGGACTTTGTGGATGATGGAGCTGGAAGACCAATGAGGAAGGAGTTCCTTTGAGAAATAAAGGCAGGAGGTGAAAAATGCCCTCACATTCAGATCTCTTAATCTGCCTACCTCTGACCTGCTTGTACCGACTCCTCTGTTGGCATGGCTAAAGGTTTCAGTAGCATTTGGTTTGATAGAGAGTCGAAGGCAGGCAAGGTAGCAGAAATAAAGAATAACAGTCCTGTCAAGGGCTGAATGTAAACCAGACGCTGAGGTTGTGCACAGTTCAGTGAGTTTGAGAAGTAGACCAGAGAGGTTGAAGAAGTTGGAGCCAGAGGTGATGAAATGCTGAAGGGAAGCCAAGAACATAGTTCCTTGTCCATAATTAAGCTGTAGGAAGTTGGTGCTCATCCAGGCCTTGATGTCTAACAAACAAGCAAACAGAACATTAATGGTTTGTAACTAGAGAAAGAAAAGTAGATTTGTATGTCATTATTGGAACTCCCTCCTCATCAGTCTTCCCAACTCTTCCCTCCACAAGCTGCAGATCATCCAAAACTCTGCAGCTCGTGTACTCTCACGCACCAGGCTCCGTGATCCCATCACTCCCACCCTCGCCCGACTCCACTGGCTCCCCATCCCCCAGAGGATCGGGTTCAAGATCCTCATCCTCACCTTTAATTCCATACATGGCCTTGTCCCCTCTTATCTCTCTGACCTGCTGACTCCCTATTAACCTGCCCACTCCCTCCGTTCATTGGGCTCCGGTCTGCTCCATGTCTCCCGCCCGACCCACCCTACCATTGGTGGCCGGGCTTTCAAGCTCTCTGCCCCCACACTCTGGAACTCCATCCCACAGTCCCTTCGCCTCGCTTCCTCCCTTACCTCCTTCAAGGCCGGTCTCAAGACCCTTCTCTTCGCCCTCCCACCTCTCTGCCTTCCCTCACCCCTACACCACCCCTTCCCCATGCTCGGGCCCCAAACCTGACTGTTTAGCGCTTTGGGACATCCTCTCGACATGAAAGGCGCCCTATAAATGTCATTTTGTTCCTCATCACAGCCTCCCTCGCCCTGCTCGGCTCCCACCCCTCGAGTTCAAAATTCTTGTCCTCACTTTCAATGCCCTCCAGGGCCTTGCTCACTCCTACCTCTCCTACCTACTAACCCCTTATCAACCTGTCCGCTCCCTCCGCTCAGTAGGTTTCGGCCTGCTCCATGTCCCCCCGGCACCCCCATCTGAGGTCGGACCTTCAGCTTCTCTGCCCCCACCCTATGGAACTCCACCCCATATTCCCTTCGCCTCACTCACGTCCTTGCCTCCTTCAAGGCACACTTCAAGACCTTGCCTTTGGCCACCCTCCTACCCTCCACCCTCCCTGATTCCAACCCACACCCGCCCACCCTTAAACCCTACTCATCAGCACCTTGGGATGCCCTCCCGACATGAAAGGCGCTTCACAAATGTAATTTGTATTGTATCTCCAGCCTGTGCCGTGATACACACACACATGTAAGTTGACCCCATGATTGCGGATAACATCACCAAGTGGAGTCTTAACACATGGGCAAACCAGTGAATATTGTGGAGTCTTGGGTAGACAGTACAGGATACACTAGGTTAAGTCACTGGATCGGTGTAAAGATCAGTCTTGAAGCAGGAGTTTTTGGAGAGTCTGATCAAAAGGGAGAATTAAGAGTGGAGTTGTCGTCAGTAAGTGATGATGGCTTTTGGTTAAATTCATGGACATGAAGAAACAGAATCTACATTCAATCAAAAGAGGAAATCCAGTGATTCAGTCATTATTGTGTGAGGAAAGAAGCAAGAGGGTGTCTGAAGGTGTTGAGTGCAATTAAACAAGTGACAGCATGAGGTGATCACTGGAAAAGATCATTGACATGGAGAAATGAACAAGGCAGAAATCCATGCCCTGTGGAACTCTTCAGTTGATGAAAAGTTAGGAGCACAAACAGAACTTTAGTAGATGGCCAAAAGATGGGAACTTTTTGTCTGCTGATAGCGATATGCAACTTCATCTCTGTGAAATGCTTAAAGGCATTTCCCTCTGTGACAGACAATACAAACACAAAGTTGTTTTTGATGCAACATAATGTAATGTACAGCAAATTTTATATATCATCATGTTTATAGCACCCTTCATGCGGGTTAATGACTCAAAACAATTTTAATGCCATCAGATTTAATAACAAACTTCACTGTCTTGTATTTTTAAAGAGGAGATGGTTTGTAACCTACTCAAGTTCTTCATAACCATCTCCCTTCCTCTCCCACCCATCTCTCTCTCTCTACCACATTGTGTGTCTATCTCTCTCTCACACACACACTCTATCACTCACTGTATGTGTTTTCTCTCTATCACTTTCTCACACACACACAAACACTCTGTCTCTCTATCACACTTTGTGTCTATATCACTCTCACACAGTCTCTCAATCCTGTGTGTGTCACTATCACTCTCTTATACTGTCTGTGTCTCACACACTGTGTATCACACCATCTCCCGTGCGCTCTCTGTCTCTCTCACACACTCTCTCTCACTCTCTCTCTCACACTCACACACACTCTCTCACTCTCACTCTCTCACACACACTCTCACTCTCTCTCTCACACTCTCTCTCTCACACACTGTCTCTCTCTCTCTCTATCTCACACACACTGCCTCACTCTCTCTCTCTCTCACACACTGTCTCACTCTCTCTCTCACTCTCTCACACACTGTCTCACTCTCTCACACACTGTCTCACTCTCTCTCTCTCTCACACACTGTCTCACTCTCTCTCACACTCTCTCACTCACTGTCTCACTCTCTCACACACTGTCTCACTCTCTTTCACACTCTCTCACTCACTGTCTCACTCTCTCTCACACACTGTCTCACTGTCTCACTCTCTAACACACCGTCTCACTTTCTCTCACTCACTGTCTCACTCTCTCTCTCTCACTCACTGTCTCACTCACTGTCTCACTCACTGTCTCACTCTCTCTCACTCACTGTCTCACTCTCTCTCACTCACTGTCTCACTCTCTCTCACTCACTGTCTCACTCTCTCTCACTCACTGTCTCACTCTCTCTCACTCACTGTCTCACTCTCTCTCACTCACTGTCTCACTCTCTCTCTCACTCACTGTCTCACTCTCTCTCTCACTCACTGTCTCACTCTCTCTCACTCACTGTCTCACTCTCTCACTCACTCTCTCACTCACTGTCTCACTCACTGTCTCACTCACTGTCACTCACTGTCTCACTCACTGTCACTCACTGTCTCACTCACTGTCACTCACTGTCTCACTCACTGTCACTCACTGTCTCACTCTCTCTCACTCACTGTCTCACTCTCTCTCACTCACTGTCTCACTCTCTCTCACTCACTGTCTCTCTCTCTCTCACTCACTGTCACTCTCTCTCTCACCCACTGTCACTCTCTCTCACCCACTGTCACTCTCTCTCACTCACTGTCTCACTCTCTCTCACTCACTGTCTCACTCTCTCTCACTCACTGTCTCACTCTCTCTCACTCACTGTCACTCTCTCTCTCACTCACTGTCACTCTCTCTCTCACTCACTGTCACTCTCTCTCACTCACTGTCACTCTCTCTCACTCACTGTCTCACGCTCTCTCACTCACTGTCTCACGCTCTCTCACTCACTGTCTCACGCTCTCTCACTCACTGTCTCACGCTCTCTCACTCACTGTCTCACGCTCTCTCACTCACTGTCTCACGCTCTCTCACTCACTGTCTCACTCACTGTCACTCACTGTCTCACTCACTGTCACTCTCTCACTCACTGTCTCACTCTCTCACTCACTGTCTCACTCTCTCTCTCACTCACTGTCTCACTCTCTCTCTCACTCACTGTCTCACGCTCTCTCACTCACTGTCTCACGCTCTCTCACTCACTGTCTCACGCTCTCTCACTCACTGTCACTCTCTCTCACTCACTGTCACTCTCTCTCACTCACTGTCACTCTCTCTCACTCACTGTCACTCTCTCTCACTCACTGTCACTCTCTCTCACTCACTGTCACTCTCTCTCACTCACTGTCACTCTCTCTCACTCACTGTCACTCTCTCTCACTCACTGTCACTCTCTCACTCACTGTCACTCTCTCTCACTCACTGTCACTCTCTCTCACTCACTGTCACTCTCTCTCACTCACTGTCACTCTCTCTCAGTCACTGTCACTCTCTCTCAGTCACTGTCACTCTCTCTCTCTCAGTCACTGTCACTCTCTCTCACTGTCACTCTCACTCTCTCTCACTCACTGTCACTCTCTCTCACTCACTGTCACTCTCTCTCACTCACTGTCACTCTCTCTCACTCACTGTCACTCTCTCTCACTCACTGTCACTCTCTCTCACTCACTGTCACTCTCTCTCACTCACTGTCACTCTCTCTCACTCACTGTCACTCTCTCTCACTCACTGAGCTTCTTGTGGAGCCGCCATTTGTCTGTGGATCAACGTCACCGCCTTTTCCGGAAACGTCGCCGGAAATGGCGAGAAATGTGTGAGAGCTGCGCGCGCAGCTTCCGTCCGGCGGAAAAGCGGCTTTTCCCGGTGATTCCCGGTCCCGTCACCGCCCCCACAACCCCCACACAACCCCCCCCCCAACCCACA